CCAATCAGGCCTTTATGCTAGAGTGGCAAGACGGAAGCCACTCCTCAGTAAAAGGCACATGACAGCCGCTTGGAGTTTGCCAAAAGGCACCCAAAGGACTCTCAGACCATGAGAAACAAGATTCTCTAGTCTGATGAAACCAAGATTGAACTCTTTGGCCTGAATGCCAAGAGTCACGTCTGGAGGAAACCTGGCACCATCCCTATGGTGAAGCATGGTGGTGGCAGCATCATGCTGTGGGGATGTTTTTCAGCAGCAGGGACTGGGAGACTAGTCAGGATCGAGGGAAAGATGAACAGAGCAAATTACAGAGAGATCCCTTATGAAAACCTGTTCCAGAGCACTCAGGACCTCAGACTGGGCGAAGGTTCACTTTCCAACAGGACAACAACCCTGAGCACACAGCCAAGACAATGCAGTAGTGGCTTCGGGACAAGTCTCTGAATGTCCTTGAGTGGCCCAAACAGAGCCCGGACTTGAACCCGATTGAACATCTCTGGAGAGACCTGAAAATAGCTGGCCAGCGACGCTCCCCATCCAACCTGACAGAGGTTGAGAGGATCTGCAGAGAAGAATGGGAGAAACTCCCCAAATACAGATGTGCCAAGCTTGTAGTGCCATACCCAAGAAGACTCGAGGCTGTAATCGCTGCCAAAGGTGCTTCAACAAAGTACTGAGTAAAGGGTCTGAATACTTACGTGAATGTGATATTTCAGTTTTAGATTTGTAATAAATGTGCTAAAATTTCTAAAAACCTGTTTTTGTTTTGTCATTATGGGATATTGTGTGTAGATTGAAAAGGGAAAAAACAAACAATTTAATCAATTTTAGAATAAGGCTGTAACATAACAAAATGTGGAAAAAGTCAAGGGGTCTGAATACTTTCCGAATGCACTGTAACATAGTAAACGTAAGTCCAGGACACTCAAATTAGTATGATACAGTTGAAGTCGGAAGTTTACATACACCTTAGCCAAATTCATTTAAACTCATTTTTTTCACAATTCCTGACATTTAATCCTAGTAAAAATGCCCTGTCTTAGGTCAGTTAGGATCACCACTTTTTTTTAAGAATGTGAAATGTCAGAATAATAGTAGAGAGAATGATTTATTTCAGCTTTTGTTTCTTTCATCACATTCCTAGTGGGTCAGAAGTTTACATACACTCAATTAGTATTTGGTAGCATTGCCTTTAAATTGTTTAACTTGGGTCAAACGTTTCGGGTAGCCTTCCACAAGCTTCCCACAAGAAGTTGGGTGAATTTTGGCCCATTCCTCCTGACAGAGCTGGTGTAACTGTGTCAGGTTTGTAGGCCTCCTTACTCGCACACGCTTTTTCAGTTCTGCCCACAAATTGTTTATAGGATTGAGCTCAGGGCTTTGTGATGGCCACTCCAATACCTTGACTTTGTTGTCCTTAAGCCATTTTGCCACAACTGTGGAAGTATGCTTGGGGTCATTGTCCATTTGGAAGACCCATTTGCGACCAAGCTTTAACTTCCCGACTGATGTCTTGAGTTTTGGAGCAGTGGCTTCTTCCTTGCTGAGCGGCCTTTCAGGTTATGGCAATATAGGACTCGTTTTACTGTGGATATAGATCATTTTATACCTGTTTCCTCCAGCATCTTCACAAGGTCCTTTGCTGTTGTTCTGGGATTGATTTGCACTTTTCGCACCAAAGTACGTTCATGTCTAGGAGACAGAACGCGTCTCCTTCCTGAGCGGTATGACGGCTGTGTGGTCACATGGTGTTTATACTTGCGAACTATTGTTTGTACAGATGAATGTGGTACCTTCAGGCGTTTGGAAATTGCTCCCAAGGATGAACCAGACTTGTGGAGGTCTACAATTTTTTTTCTGAGGTCTTGGCTGATTTGTTTTGATTTTCCCATGATGTCAAGCAAAAAGGCACTGTTTGAAGGTAGGCGTTGAAATACATCCACAGGTACATTTCCAATTGACTCAAATGGTGTCAATTAGCCTATCAGAAGCTTCTAAAGCCATGACATCATTTTCTGGAATATTCCAAGCTGTTTAAAGGCACAGTCAACTTAGTGTATGTAAACTTCTGACCCACTGGAATTGTGATACAATGAATTAATTATAAGTGAAATTATCTGTCTGTAAACAGTTGTTGGAAAAATTACTTCTGCCATGCACAAAGTAGATGTCCTAACCAACTTGCCAAAACTATAGTTTGTTAACAAGACATTTGTGGAGTGGTTGAAAAACAAGTTTTAATGACTCCAACCTAAGTGTATGTAAACTTCTGACTTCAACTGTATGTTACGTTTGGTATGGCTACATAAGACAGAAGGTTACTTAAGGCAAAAACTAAAGTAGGGTGGTTGGTCGGGTTGAATGGGTGGGCGTATAACGCGAACATCTAGCAACCCAAAGGTTGCGTGTTCTAATCTCATCACGGACAACTTTAGCATTTTAGCTAATTAGCAACTTTGCAACTACAGTACTTACTACATTTCATCTACTTTACAACTACTTAGCATGTTAGCTAACCCTTCTCCTAACCTTAACCCTTTCACCTAACTCCTAACCTTAACCCCTAGCATAGCTAACGTTAGCCACCTAGCCAAGGTTAGCCACAACAAATTGGAATTTGTAACATATCAAACGAATTGTAATTCATAATATATCCTACGAAATGGATGATGGACATTCACATATGAATACATACCATACGAAACGTAACATATCATACTAATTTCAGTCTCTCGGATTTACATTTACTATGTTACGTCTACCACTGAGTCAAGGTTGCTCCACCACCAACTCCTCCACCACCATTACGGTTCAACGTTTTATTTCATTGATTTAAAAACAAATCTTGGCCTTTAAAACAAAATCCTTTTAGAGGTATACAGATTTGAATATGCAAACTACTACTTCTTCCATTTCAAGTTAATGACATTGAAAATACAAATGCACTGTTATACCCCCCACCCCCGTTTCACACTTGCAGAAACTGAATTTCAAAGTCCAAGGGCAACATCTAGTGGAAAAAGAGAAAAACTGCATTTCCAGAACTTCACTGGGCACTGGAATACAGATTTTTTTAGCACTCGAAAACTTTATATGCTAAAACCACAAAACATACACTATATATACACAAAAGTATGTGGACACCCCTTCAAATTAGTGCATTTGGCTATTTCAGCCACACCAGTTGCTGACAGGTGTATAAAATCGAACACACAGCCATGCAATCTCCATAGACAAACATTGGCAGAAGAACGGCCTTACTGAAGGGCTCAGTGACTTTCAACGTGGCACCGTCATAGGATGACCCCTTTCCAACAAGTCCGTTCGTCAAATTTCAGCCCTGCTAGAGCTGCCCCGGTCAACTCTAAGTGCTGTTATTGTGAAGTGGAAACGTCTAGGAGCAACAACAGCTTAGCCGTGAAGTGGTAGGCCACACAAGCTCACAGAACGGGACCACTGAGTGTAAAGTTAGCCGCCATTGGACTCTGGAGCAGTGGAAACGCGTTCTCTGGAGTGATTAATCATGCTTTACCATCTTGCAGTCCAAAGGATGAATCTGGGTTTGGCGGATCCCAGAAGAACGCTACCTGCCCGAATGCATAGTGCCAACTGTAAAGTTTGGTGGAAGATTAATAATGGTCTGGGGCTGTTTTTCATGGTTCGGGCTAGGCCCCTTAGTTCCAGTGAAGGGAAATCTTAATGCTACAGCATACAATGACATTCTAGACTATTCTGTTTCCAACTTTGTGGCAACAGTTTGGGGAAGGCCCTTTCCTGTTTCAGTGTGACAATGCCCCTGTGCACAAAGCGAGGTCCATACAGAAATGGTTTGTCGAGTTCGGTGTGGAAGAACTTGACTGGCCTGCACAGAGGCCAGACCTCAACCCCATCGAACACCTTTGGGATGAATTGGAACACTGACTGCGAGCCAGGCCTAATCGCCCAACATCAGTGCCCGACCTCACTAATGCTCTTGTGGCTGAATGGAAGCAAGTCCCCACAGCAATGTACCAACATCTAGTGAAAATGTTCCCAGAAGAGTGGAAGCTGTCATAGCAGCAAAGTGGGGACAAACTCCATATTAATGCCCATGATTTTGGAATGAGATGTTCGACGAGCATACTTTTGGTCATGTAGTGTATATCAGAGGATACTTAGTGTCATGTACTAGCTTTACATACCGTAACGTTTTTTGGCACGGAGTCATGATTATAAAAGGGTACATATTACAAAAGATTCAAAACGATTCGTCTTCTCACCGGAAGTTACACGCACAATAGATGATGTAACACGGTAGAAACTTCTGGAACACCAGTCCTTTTCATTCCTACGAAGGTCGATTAGACACAGACACATTAGCTACTGTACTGAGTCGCTTTCTTCAAATACGAAGGAGTTTTCTTGTTATATTTCACTAGCTAGCTTTATCACTTGAAAATGCCAAGAGGAAGCAGAAGCCGGACGTCAAGGATGGCCCCTCCAGCCAGGTATGCAAATTGACAAAATCATGACATTAATAACGCATTGACAGCTAGCTACATTAGCTAGTTAACTTAGCATCAAGCAAGCTGCCTGACTTTACTTGCATCCTTTCCCTGTGTTTCCTCAGTCAATATGTAATGCTTGTTAAACGGTGTCTCTTTCAAGGGTGTTATGATAGTCAGCTAACGTTAGCTAGGTAACAAATTGCTAGCTAGCTATAAATATGGTATTTGTAAGCTAGCTAGGTTGCTAGACACTTCTGGTTCATCTAATGACGTTAGGTGAAACTGATAATAATAATAATAATAATAATAAGATAAGAAGGAACTAAATGTACTGAATAGATATATCTGGTAGGCTAATCTTTACACTACACTAATTTACTTTGTTCTATGTTACTGAATTGGCCCAGAATAACTGAGGTTGATGCTGTTAATGGATCAAATTCAAGTTCTTCATTGACACATGATTGAGTTGACACTTGATTGCTCATCTCTCTCTCTTTCTATCAAACCAGGATGGCCCCACCTCCCATGGCCAGGGCTTCACCCCCTCCATCCTACGCCCCAGCGCCCGCCCGTGCCCCTCCGTCCGCCATGGCAGCCCCAGCCGCCGCTGCTCCCCGGCAGCCAGGCATGTTTGCGCAGATGGCCACCACAGCCGCTGGGGTAGCTGTTGGCTCAGCTGCAGGGCACATGATCGGCCACGCAATGACCGGAGGAATGGGTGGGGGTGGAGGAAGCCAGGAGGCTCCCAAGCCTGATGTTACCTACCAGGTAGGTGACCACAGCTTAATCACAGTAGGTGACAGGGCCATGATATTGAATTGGCATTGTGTCATGTAGCCTAGTTAGTAGTGGTAGTGATGAGAGTATGAGCAAGACAGAGAGAGAGGATAAGCCATGGAGGATTATACCCTGTGCCAGTCCTTAAAGAAAGGGCATCTAAACAGTTGAGAATAACATCAACACTAACCTCAAATGCTTTATTATGTTTCTCAGGAGCAGCCCCAGCAGTACCAGCAGCAGTATCAACAGCCACCTCCCATGTACCAGCCAGCCCAGTATCAGCAGCAGCCCCAGTCTATGTTCCAGCAGGAGCCTGCCCCTCAGCAGGGAACCTGCTCCTACGAGCTCAAGCAGTTTATTGAGTGTGCACAGACCCAGAGCGACCTGAAACTCTGTGAGGGCTTCAGCGAGGTGCTCAAGCAGTGCAAGTTCTCTAATGGTGAGTTTAAAAGTGTGTGTATGTGTGTTAATACAATCTTAGCTGTTACTGGAAATATTTGTGAAAAAGAGGGTGCTTTATGTGTCCCTGAAATTTTTAAATAATGAATTTGTATCATGACTTGTATGCATTCATTAGATTTGATCAGTTGACTTGTTGCCTATCCCTTGACTTCCCTGGTGTCACCTTTTGGAATAGGATTAAGATTAGGTTTTATGGCAGCGAGTGTTCTTCAGTCTGGTTCCTGGATAGTGTTCTGTAGGTGTGTGGCATTCATTCAATTAGGTCTCCTGAGTCAACTGAGCTAATTTGTTGAAAGCCCCACAAAGCGTAGCTCGGCCCACTTTAAAGTGGAACTGACAGAGTTTTAGCGACATGAAATCGTATTAAAATCTGTTCATATACACCCCCAGGAAGAATGACTCCTTTTTTATTAATTTTTTTGCATTTTCTGACAAGCGAGCACTTAGGTCATTTTCATAAATTCATAGAATGTTTGGGAATGACGTAGAGTAAAGGCATTTGTCAAAATTCTATAGAAATAAGAGTGGGAAAGCTGCCATGCGTTTGGACAATTTAATAGACACTGCACTAAATAAAACATAATAAAAACATCTGTCTTGTCCAGGACTGGACTTTACGCAGACCGGTGCGCCATAGCCAATCAGAGCTACTATAGTTCTATATGCAAATAAGCCATTTGCCACACGGGCCTGCCATCATTCACTTTTAACCTTACTGTGTGTTTACAGGCAGTAGCAACAGCGTAACTTTATATCATTAGAACGCATTAGCCAAAAGCTACAAAATACACCTGAATGGATTTCTGCAAATATTTAAATACCACGGGAGTCCTCTTACATTTGGGAACTTTACAGTCCTATTGATCAAACAGCCATGAAAAGGTAGGCTCTCTCTCCCTCAGTTGCCTATGCACATCAACAACAACAAGATCAACAACTGTTAGCCAGAGCGAGATTAGCAAAAATGTAACGAGGGAACAGTAGATAAACCACCCTCTCAAACTTTTTCAGCTTGTAGTTGGCCGTCAAAAATTGCACTGATAAACGATGGGGAATAGTAGCCTGCTCGCCCTTCTGCAACTTGCCTGCCAATGCATGCTTGTCCCAACCCACGTTTTGACAACTGAATGGGAACTTGCCTGCCTGCCCATTTGATTGATGCTAAATACGTTTGATTGACAACTAAGAGATATGGTAACTGTGGATTACAGTTAAGTTCAGCATAGGTAGCAAAGTGATTCACATCTTGCTAGCTAACCAAATGACACCTGCATATCTAGCTGTAGCCACAGAAAAACGATATGGGGGGTAAAAAGTTGTCCACTCCTCCAATGACATAACATCCTCCTAGCAGCTAGCCAGCTAACGCTAGGCTCTGTGTTTTTAGTTTGGTAAATAAATAGCTACATAAATAGATAAGCTAGCCTATTAGCCACATTATGACTGACTTGTGATCATTGCACTTGCTAGTTTCATTGTATTAACATTCCCAGCCTTAGTTAGATTTGTCAGTTTTTGTCCAAAATTGAGTTTTAAAACTGAAACAGCGCATCCCGAATGCCTGAAGGAAGCAAACAATGTACTGTACCAGGCCAGTTGTGATTTACAACCTGATAGCAATATTTGTTGGACTACCAAGAAATGTATGGTGAATTATATTAACCATGCATTGAACTGCATCCATCTATTCTTCCAACAATGCCTTCTCTACGTCATTTAATTTTGAGTAAAATAGAACCTATTTTTAAAACCTCTTCTAAAGTTGGTTTTGTAGCATAAACTGGGAAAAATACTATGATTCTGTTTGTTTCATATCTGCAAAGTAGTTCAAACAACTGTCAGTTCCACTTTAATGTATATCCTCAGAGATGCTCATAATAGTTACAGGGGCCCACTCAATATTCTTGGCCCCCAAGTTCTTTAACCACAAATGTATGCAATACACTGAGTGGCCGTAGGGTGATGTAGCACTATGCGACATTAAATCATGAAATGTGTAGCAGCTCATGCCAGGCGCTCACACTTTTGATTTCACTGTGAGTAAGGACTGCCCCCCATTTCCGGTGAGGGCGTTGCTGGTTAAAACAAGTTAACAAAAAAGTTTCCCTAATGTTGTGCCGGAGCTGGTTCTAGTGGTAGTGCTGCTGCCACACATGGCCCCTGGAGTCCCTCTCCTCTACATCCCCATCTCAATGACCACTGCATCTGTCAATTAAAAACTACAAAAAACATACAATTTTCCAAAATGTAATTTTTTATTTTTCCTCCACAGGGATGTCCTGAGAGGGAGACGAACAACCCCATCAATGCTGAACAGACAACATACACACAATACTACTAAACAGTCATTTGTTTTGGCAGTTGAACAAATAACTGTTAATCATGTATGGACAATAAAAGCATTTCTCATGTTGATGCTGTGAAGCTTGTAATAATAGTCTTATGTATATGTTTATATTTTTGGGTTTGTTGCAAGTTGTTTAATTTGAAATAAATTACACGTTTGATTGGCTTTAGTGCTTAAACCTGGGGTGTATTCATTACGTCTTGCAACAAACTGTTTACATTTAAGAAGCAAATGAAACTGGGAGAGACCTACCTGAATTTGTCCAATAGAAACTCGTTTTAGTTGCAAAACATTTTCTGTTTGTTGGAAACGGTTTGCTACAGAATCGGTGTAATGAATACACCCCTGTTGTAAATTAACCTCATCCCTAGGCTCAGCCGGCTGGGGATGAGATTAGTTATAAATCTACTTGAAGTATTTTAAAGGTGATATTCCCTCATAGCCTGGTTAAACCAGACTGAAAATAGCAAGTGAAATCAGTTAGGATGCCAGGCTAACTCCCTCATAGATCACAATGTAAACTTCATTGTTGGTAGATATTCCCTTGGTCCACCCATTTCCATCATATCTGGATTAGGGTTGTACAATCGCAATTTGCTTGTAACAAGCATAGGATCTAATAAAGCTCATTTGAATCACATTAAAGAATCTTGGTATCTCTTGTTCTCTCATCCCTGATGGCTTTCTTGCACCCAGTGATTAATGTGATGCAGTATTACATAAATTGGATCATCCTTTTGGAACATTTTAAGTAACACTAGTCTAGAGCAAGATGCACATGCAGTTATTTGTATGCCGTTTCTTTATTATTGAAGGGCTACTACTACAGTACATTTATATATATGGTTTATTTATGTAACACCTGTTATGCCCATTCTATTATATGAGACGGATTACCTGTTGCATGCAAACTATTAGCTGGGGGGTAAACGTGCAGTGATCTAGCTGGAGAGGAATCGTTTTGAATGGGGGGTTGCGGTCACTGATTAGAATGTAAAAGGGGGTGTTATTTCATGAATATGAAGAAGATATGTGTACACGTGTAGAGGGCCTGTGCTCTTCAACTAGCACATATTTATTTTTGGCATCTGACATTAGCATTCACCCTTTTGCTATGCTAACACAGTCCACCATGAAGACTGACCAGCTGTGTTGATATCGTAAGTGAGCCAGTTGCTCGTTTGTTCCTTATTTTATATGAAGTGTTTGGATTATGATGGATTTAACTGCATTGTAAGGACTAAACACGCATTGATTGATACGGTGAGTGTTGATCGTGGGAATTTCGTGTTTGTTCAACTTGACAAGACCGCGATTTAAAAGGTCATAGTGATAGGAGCAATATGTACTACAGCAGTTGAGGCTGATATATGATTTGTTTCCAAAATGAATTGCGATTCAATCGGTTAATTTGTAACAATGCTGGAAATTGTGTAACAGGATGATGATGCTCGACCCCACTCAGAACAGAACAATCCCACAAAATGCAATGCTCGCATGCATGCATTGTGATGATGACAGGTGAATTCTATCTAGGAATGGTTACATTTATTATTAGTCCATAAAATCCATTAAAAATAAAAATCTGGAATATATTTGGCACTATTTTGGAATACTTTTAACACAACTTTAATCATTATATAATGTCGCGTTTATTCACGTGCTACTCTGAACTAGGAAACTCAGAAATGTCCGACTTGCTAACTGCTTGAAGCTGCACGTGTATAACTACAACCAGTTAGCAAGTCACACATTTCCGAGTTTCCTAGTTCCGACTAGCACGTGAACGCGGCATAATGCGTAGGCTAAATCATATATAATATATGGGTTATATAACTATGTTATATGCTAATAATCTATATTATCTTCCACGTTTTCTTTCCTCTGTCATAGCCTCCTGAGTGGCGCAGGGTTAAGGCCCGCATCGCATGACTTGCACTAAATCGTCGAATCCAGCTGGTCGATCCGCCGCGCCGGAACTCATGGGTGCGCAAATAGCGTGCAGGTAGGGAGGATGCCGGCGGATTATCTCATTTATAGCATGTGCGTTTGCAACGCCAGGGTTGGGTTCGATCCCGGGGGCCAGATATTAAACAAAACAAAAATGCTGTAAGTCCTCATAAGAGCGTCGCTAATGACTAAATTTAGATGCTCCCTGCGGAGGGGGCCGGGGGCGGGGCTTCTAAATGTCATTACATAGGCAGTATTTAAGCCAGTTCAACATGGCATCTGCATCTCTATCCCGGGTCCCTCTGTTCTGTTTTATAGACATAAATCCACCAGCCCCCCTACCCATTTTAAAGGGTCCATTTGCAGTGTGCACATGCCTCCTGTCCCTCTTGTGTGTTGAAATATATTAAATTATACAACCATGGTCAAACAATTGGGCTACTGTCACCAAAAACCTACATCAATTGTCTCCTATGTGCTTGTCTATATTGCTGTTAGAGTTTAGAATGGAATTACATTTTTACTTTAAATTTCATACATTTAACTGTGTTAGATTTTACTAACTTATTACATTTTTTGTTAAAAGGGCAATCAACTTCACAAATGCAGCTCAGTTCAATGAGAAAGTGAGTTTGCCCTTTATATGACCTGTTGTGTTTTTTTGTTCCCAGCTTGTTGTCAGCAGCAGCAGTACAGTAGTCTAGTTGCCTTGGATAACCAGTCACGCCTACATGACCAAAGAGGATGAGATCCCGGATTGGGTGGGAGCTCAGGAGTTCTATGGCAAATATGACCCCAAGGAGATCCTGGGAAGGTATGGTATCATTTGTATGTCATATGGGATTGTTTACATGAACCTCGCATGAGGTAAAAAGAACATGAACCCATTTTCTATTCATTCACTGCATAGAAATAGCCTGGCCCCAGATCTGTTTGTGCTGTATACCCATAACAAACTTGCATGTCAAATCATAAATGTTTGGCAATGCATCACAATGACCATATGAGTTGGCTATACAGCCCAAAATGATCTGGGACCAGACTAGAAAATAAATAATAATAAACAGAAACTCTAAACACACACCAACCTCCCCTCAGTCTAGACTGGTTATGGAAGGGAGTTGGGGTTCTGTGAACTCACTATTAAACCCTGTCATCAGGGACATCCTTTGTGTTGTGTCACTGTGTGCTGTTTGTTAGTCAAGTGAGGTATGCCATTACGTAACTAAACTATGCATTGTTGAGCCGGGAGGCGTTCATTTGAGGACAAAGGTTTTGGCACTGAACACTACTAGTGATTGGTCAGCTCGTAGAGTCATTATGTCATCCCACTCGGATTCACACAGGGGGTCACTTATGTGATAAAGAAATGGCGTTATTTTCAAATTAAATTGTATTGTCACATGCGCCGAATACAACAGGTGTAGACCTTACTGTGAAATGCTTCCTTACAAGCCCTTAACCAACAATGCAGTTCAATAAATATTTACTAAATAAACTAAAGTAAAAAATAAAATAAAATAAAAAGTAACACAATAAAATAACAATACCGAGGCTACAGTCAGGTCCATAAATATTTGGACATTGACCAAGTTATTATTAATTTAGCTGTCTACCACAGCATTATGGAGTTGAAATTAAATAATGAATATGAGCTGAAAGTGCAGACTTTCAGCTTTCATTTGAGAGTATTTACATCCAAATCAGGTGAACGGTGTAGGAATTACAGCACTTTTTATATGTGCCCCCCCCTTTTTAAGGGACCAAAAGTAATTGGACAATTGGCTGCTCAGCTGTTCCATGGCCAGGTGTGTGTTATTCCCTCATTAGTTAATTTACAAGTAAGCAGATAAAAGGTCTAGAGTTGATTTCAAGTGTGGCATTTGCATTTGGAATCTGTTGCTGTTAACCCTCAATATGAAGTCCAAAGAGCTGTCACTGCCAGTGAAGCAAGCCATCATTACGCTGAAAAATCAAAACAAACCCATCAGAGAGATAGCAAAAACATTAGGTGTGGCCAAATCAACTATTTGGTACATTCTTAAAAAGAAAGAACGCACTAGTGAGCTCAGGAACACCAAAAGGCCCGGAAGACCACGGAAAACAACTGTGGTGGTTGACAGAATAATTATTTCCCTGGTGAAGAAAAACCCCTTCACAACAGTTGGCCAGATCAAGAACACCCCCCAGGAGGTAGACGTATCTGTGTCAAAGTCAACAATCAAGAGAAGACTTCAGCAGAGTAAATACAGAGGGTTACCACAAGATGTAAACCATTGGTAACCCGGAAAAACAGGCGACCAGATTAGAGTTTGCCAAAAAACATATTTAAAAGCCTGTATAGTTCTGGAACAACATCCTATGGACAGATGAGACAAAGATCAATTTATACCAGAACGATGGGAAGAGAAGAGTATGGAGAAGGGAAGGAACTGCTCATGATGCGAAGCATACCACCTCATCTGTGAAGCATGGTGGAGGTAGTGTTATGGCATGGGCATGTATGGCTGCCAATGGAACTGGTTCTCTTGTATTTATTGATGATGTGACTGCTGACAAAAGCAGCAGGATGAATTCTGAAGTGTTTAGGGCTATATTATCTACTCAGATTCAGCCAAATGCTTCAAAACTCATTGGATAGCGCTTCACAGTGCAGATGGACAATGACCCGAAGCATACTGCGAAAGCAACCCAATACTTTTTTAAGGCAAAGAAGTGGAATGTTCTGCAATGGCCAAGTCAATCACCTGACCTGAATCCAATTGAGCATGCATTCACTTGCTGAAGGCAAAACTGAAGGAAAAACACCCCAAGAACAAGCAGGAACTGAAGACAGCTGCAGTAAAGGCCTGGCAGAGCATTACCAGGGAAGAAACCCAGCATCTGGTGATGTCTATGGGTTCCAGACTTCAGGCCGTCATTGACTGCAAAGGATTTGCAACCAAGTATTAAAACTCACAATTTAATGTATGATTATGTTAGTTTGTCCAATTACTTTTGAGCCCCTAAAATTGGGGGGCTATGTATAAAAATAGTTGTAATTCCTACACGGTTCATACAATAATTTTGACAAAACCCTTAAATTAAAGATGAAAGTCTACACTTAAAGCACACCTTGATTGTTTCCTTTCAAATCCATTGTGGTGGCATACAGAGCCAAAATGATGCAAATTGTGTCACTGTCCAAATACTTATGGACCTGACTGTATATACAGTGGGTACCGGTACCGAGTCAATGTGCGGGGGTACAGGTTAGTCGAGGTAATTTGTACATGTAGGTTAGGGGTAACGTGACTATGCATAGATAATAGACAGCGAGTAGCAGCAGTGTAAAAACAAAGGGTGGGGGGGGTCAATGTAAATAGTCCGGGTGGCCATTTGACTAATTGTTCAGCAGTCTTATGGCTTGGGGGTAGAAGCTGTTAAGGAGCCTTTTGGACCTAGACTTGGCGCTCCGGTACCGCTTGCCGTGCAGTAGCAGAGAGAACAGTCTATGACTTGCGTGACTGGAGTCTTTGACCAATTTTTTGGGCCTTCCTCTGACACCGCCTGGTATATAGGTCCTGGATGGCAGGAAGCTTGGCCCCATTTACTGGGCTGTATGCATGACCCTCTGTAGCGCCTTATGGTTGGATGCCAAGCAGTTGCCATACCAGGCTGTGATGCAACCGGTCAGGATGCTCTCGATGGTGCAGCTGTATAACTTTTTGAGGATCTGGGAACCCATGCCAAATCTTTTCAGTCTCCTGGATGGGGGGAAAAGGTGTTGTTGTGCCCTCTTCACGACTGTCTTGGTGTGTTTGGACCATGATAGTTTGTTGGTGATGTGGACACCAAGGAACTTGAAACTCTCGACCTGCTCCACTGCAGCCCCGTCAATGTGAATGGGGGCGTGTTCGGCCCTCCTTTTCCTGTAGTCCACGATCATCTCCTTTGTCTTGCTCACGTTGAGGGAGAGGTTGTTGTCCTGGCACCACACTGCCAGATCTCTGACCTCCTCCCTATAGGCTGTCTCATCATTGTCTGTGATCAGGCCTACCGTCGTTGTGTCGTCAGCAAACTTAATGATGGTGTTGGAGTCGTGCTTGGCCACGCAGTCGTGGGTGAACAGGGAGTACAGGAGGGGACTAAGCACGCACCCCTGAGGGCCCCCGTGTTGAGGATCAGCGTGGCAGATGTGTTGTTACCTACCCTTACCACCTGTGGGTGGCCCATCAGGAAGTCCAGGATCCAGTTGCAAAGGGAGGTGTTTAGTCCCAGGGTCCTTAGCTTAGTGATGAGCTTTGTGGGCACTATGGTGTTGAACACTGAGCTGTAGTCAATGAACAGCATTCTCATATACAGTGGGGAAAAAAAGTATTTAGTCAGCCACCAATTGTGCAAGTTCTCCCACTTAAAAAGATGAGAGAGGCCTGTAATTTTCATCATAGGTACACGTCAACTATGACAGACAAATTGAGAAAAAAAATTCCAGAAAATCCCATTGTAGGATTTTTAATGAATTTATTTGCAAATTATGGTGGAAAATAAGTATTTGGTCACCTACAAACAAGCAAGATTTCTGGCTCTCACAGACCTGTAACTTCTTCTTTAAGAGGCTCCTCTGTCCTCCACTCGTTACCTGTATTAATGGCACCTGTTTGAACTTGTTATCAGTATAAAAGACACCTGTCCACAACCTCAAACAGTCACACTCCAAACTTCACAATGGCCAAGACCAAAGAGCTGTCAAAGGACACCAAAAACAAAATTGTAGACCTGCACCAGGCTGGGAAGACTGAATCTGCAATAGGTAAGCAGCTTGGTTTGAAGAAATCAACTGTGAAAGCAATTATTAGGAAATGGAAGACATACAAGACCACTGATAATCTCCCTCGATCTGGGGCTCCACGCAAGATCTCACCCCGTGGGGTCAAAATGATCACAAGAACGGTGAGCAAAAATCCCAGAACCACACGGGGGGACCTAGTGAATGACCTGCTGAGAGCTGGGACCAAAGTAACAAAGCCAACCATCAGTAACACACTACGCCGCCAGGGACTCAAATCCTGCAGTGCAAGACGTGTCCCCCTGCTTAAGCCAGTACATGTCCAGGCCCGTCTGAAGTGCATTTGGATGATCCAGAAGAGGATTGGGAGAATGTCATATGGTCAGATGAAACCAAAATATCACTTTTTGGTAAAAACTCAACTCGTCATGTTTGGAGGACAAAGAATGCTGAGTTGCATCCAAAGAACACCATACCTACTGTGAAGCATGGGGTTGGAAACATCATGCTTTGGGGCTGTTTTTCTGCAAAGGGACCAGGACGACTGATCCGTGTAAAGGAAAGAATGAATGGGGCCATGTATCGTGAGATTTTGAGTGAAACCCTCCTTCCATCAGCAAGGGCATTGAAGATGAAACGTGGCTGGGTCTTTCAGCATGACAATGATCCCAAACACACCGCCCGGGCAACGAAGGAGTGGCTTCGTAAGAAGCATTTCAAGGTCCTGGAGTGGCCTAGCCAGTCTCCAGATCTCAACCCCATAGAAAATCTTTGGAGGGAGTTGAAAGTCTGTGTTGCCCAGCGACAGCCCCAAAACATCACTGCTCTAGAGGAGATCTGCATGGAGGAATGGGCCAAAATACCAGCAACAGTGTGTGAAAACCTTGTGAAGACTTACAGAAAACGTTTGACCTGTGTCATTGCCAACAAAGGGTATATAACAAAGTATTGAGAAACTTTTGTTATTGACCAAATACTTATTTTCCACCATCATATGCCAATAAATTCATTTAAAATCCTACAATGTGATTTTCTGGATTTTTTTTCTCATTTTGTCTGTCATAGTTGACGTGTACCTATGATGAAAATTACAGGCCTCTCTCATCTTTTTAAGTGGGAGAACTTGCACAATTGGTGGCTGACTAAATACTTTTTTCCCCCACTGTAGGTGTTCCTTTTGTCCAGGTGGGAAAGGGCAGTATGGAGTGCTATTGAGATTGCGTCATCTGTGGACCTGTTGGGGCGGTATGCGAATTGGAGTGGGTGTAGGGTTTCCCGGATGGTGGTGTTGATGTGAGCCATGACCAGCCTTTCAAAGCACTTCATGGCTACCGACGTGAGTGCTACAGGGCGGCAGTCATTTAGGCAGGTTACCTTCAGTTTCTTGGACACAGGGACTATGGTGTTCTGCTTGAAAGATGTAGGTATTACAGACTCGGTCAGGGAGAGGTTGAAAATGTCAGTGAAGACACTTGCCAGTTGGTCCGCGCATGCTCTGAGTACACGTCCTGGTAATCCGTCTGGCCCCGCGGCCTTGTGAATGTTGACCTGTTTAAAGGTCTTGCTCACATCGGCTACGGAGAGCGTGATCACACAGTTGTCTGGAACAGCTGGTGCTCTCATGCATGCTTCAGTGTTGCTTGCCACGAAGCGAGCATAAAAGGCATTTAGCTCGTCTGGTAGGCTCGCGTCACTGGGCAGCTCACAGCTGGGTTTCCCTTTGTAGTCCGTAAAAGCCCTGCCACATCCGACGAGCGTCAGAGCCGGTTGTAGTAGGATTCAATCTTAGTCCTGTATTGACGCTTTGCCTGTTATTTTTTTTAGCCATTGTTTCTCACGAGTCTCACATAACTTTAAGCAAGATAGAACAGATCAAAGAGGAGACAATTCATCGTAGTCATGTACTTGCTTTTGTGGTCTAATGCAGCGTTATGTCATTATATGGGTAGGGGAGGGGATAGGGGAGGGAATGGCCGGCAGGGATGTAGCTCAGTTGGTAGAGCATGGCGTTTGCAACGCCAGGGTTGTGGGTTCGTTTCCCACAGGGGGGCCAGTATGAAAAATAAATAAATCATGTATGCACTCACTAACTGTAAGTCGCTCTGGATAAGAGCGTCTGCTAAATGACTAAAATGAAAATGTAAATATGGAGTATAGGCCTACTTGCAAGTGCAGAGGGTTCTCAAAAAGAAAATGGTAAGGATGAACATGTTTTTGAGGTTGCCTTAATATATAAAGCTGTGCTTCAGATATTTCAAATATTTTATCTGATAGGGATAGACAATCAGTCTCAGCCTTTTGAGATTTTAGCTCTAGGATATGTTCTGCATTAGATACACATTGTGTCCTGTATTGGTTTATTTAGGCTTGGTATTACATCCTATATAATCTCTCGTGGACAGATGCACGTAACATATATGGTAGTAAAATAAACGGTAGTAGCATCTGTCGACAGACTGTGGGATGCGATGACCAACAAGGAACTTTGTTCGGGTACGCAGATTTTTCTGTCACTTATCATTTGGACAAATCAGGATTTCGCATCTTTCGAATTTCGGAAGTGGATGGAACATTTTGCCCATAGACTTGCCCGAAACATGCTGAGTTTCCATTTAGAGAAATTGGAGACTTCGCTAGTCTCGTTAGTACATTTTCTAATTATAGTACATCCTATAGAGTGATGATCAGAGGGTTGTGGGTTCAAATCCCTGGTGGGGCACATTGCCATTGTTTCTTTGTTATGGAACAAATCTAACAAGATAAGTTCCACTTGAGTATTCAGCTGTACAAATAAAAACTTGAAATGTGTGTGATGTAATTTACTACCTACCTAGATAAGACGCTGTTTGTTGACGTTTGTTTTTCTGTCCTTGTGCCTCAGGGGGGTGAGTAGCGTTGTGCGACGTTGTATTCATAAACAAACCCAACAGGACTATGCGGTCAAAATCATCGACGTCACTCCTTCTGACAAGATCTCGGCTGCAGAGATCGAGGAGATCAAAGATGCCACCGTGAAAGAGATTGATATTCTCAAGAAAGTCTATGGAATGGACAACATCAGTAAGCAAAATAACACCATATTACGTACATTATTGACACTTTAATGGAACTTAAGGTATATAACAACAAAACTACTTGAAAAAGCTTGAGGAAGAAACTCACACATCCATCTAGCCTATTCCTGGAATAGGCTTAATCTAGGTTCAGAAAATTAGCTCTATAAAAACATTATTCACACATCTTGTGGAGTACATTGCCATGAATCTCTGGAATTCTGAAGTTTAACAATAACTTTGTTCAAAGGTTACTCGGTTATGTCTATGCATCCTAGAGGGTTGGACAACTTTAGCATTTGCTCTCCTCTACTGCTCCATAACCATATTGACTGCACATCACTTGTTTAGCTAGAAAAGGTCAAATTGATAATATATATTTTGTGTAACTCTATGGCTGCGATTACACAGGCAGCCCAAGTATGATATTTTTTCCCCACATTGGTTTTTCGACCAATCACATCAGATCTTTTCACATCATATCTTTTTCAGAGCTGATCTGATTTGTCAAAAGACCATTTAGTGAAAAAATATCAGAATTGGGCTACCTGTTCTTCTGTTTGTAGACATGCCTCATAACAGGTATATTATCTCTCCACAGTCCAGCTGAAGGACTGCTATGAGTCCAAAGCCTTCTTCTTCCTGGTGTTTGACCTGTAAGTATCCAGACAGACTCTCCAGCATACAATCACGTAATCTGTCAATTTCCTAACAAGGAATCTTATAAATCTTTATTTAACATTTAAAAAACACTTTCCAATCAAGATACGAGGAAGAGTGACATTTTTTATGCACTGATGATTTTGTCAGTGATTATACAGAATACATTTGACTCAACACTTTCTGGCCCTCAGGATGTATGCATAACAATATAATCTGTCTCTCTCCCAGGATGAAGAGAGGAGAGCTGTTTGACTACCTCACAGAAAAAGTAACTCTGAGTGAGAAGGAGACCAGGTCAGAAACTCTACCTCACACACATTCATTCACTATCTTATTGTCGTACATCTGGGTTTGATCAAATCCTCTCTCCTCAAAAATGTATATCTGGACAAGACTGTTTGGGGTTGAGGGGTTCATTTGAGGGACATTGAGAGATTTGCTGTGTGAGTGGTTTAGAATTTGAGTGATTTGGGGCTAGTTGGTTTGGCCCCTATGAGAAGAGTATTGTATGTTTAGGGAGTGTGAGAGATTTAGATCAGAAGGGACAACATTTCCCTATTTCCCTGTAGGAAGATCATGCGTGCCCTGCTGGAGGTGGTTAAGTTTCTCCACGACCAGAACATCATCCACAGAGACCTGAAGCCTGAGAATATCCTGCTGGACGACAACATGGACATCAAGCTCACTGACTTCGGCTTCTCCCTGCAGATTGAGCCCGGACAGACACTCAACGGTTAGTTAGTAGTTTCTATCGACAGATGTGGGGTCTACGACTGGCAAAGAAAATCTAGTTAATTACTGTACCACTCAATCTCATTCTGACTTAATGAGCAGTGAAATCATTGTAGAAGATCGACGGAATCTCCCATTTCCAATATGGCTGCCTCTGTTCCAATGTCCATACTGGCATACCACGTAGAATGAAGCATTAAAGCGGAAGGTAATGAGCGCTACATACTGGCTGCTCAGTCAGTGGAAAGAAGCCTCATGTTTTGAACGCTGTGGCACTAAGTTAGAACACTAGCTGTCAGTGCTACGCAGAGGAACCCTTTCTATCTAGTCAACGCCCCTAAGTCCTCGTCCACAACCCACTCCCCTTCCGTCCTGTCCCTGTCGTTAGCTCAAGCAAAGGTTAAGATGCAACAGGACACTTGCTGAGCTATTTGCAGTTCCCAAATCAATAGGAGCATGTGTTGACCTTTCAAAGGGCGACGCTGTGACTTCTCAGCATGCACAGAATTTCAGACTAGGAACTGCAGTCAGTTTTTTGTGGAAAAATACAATCCCACACTTATACATTTGTCAACAAATACTATATAGGTTCAGGTTGAATGATATACATGCAAAGAACATTCAATTACTGTATCAGCTTGAGAATGATGCTAAATGTATTGTATTTTTACTGTATGTAGTGTATGTTTTCATGTACATTTATTGTACTCATAATTATGAGAATATTAATTATTACTAATTCACCTAGCAATGCCCCCTCTATCTGTTTTCTACGCCAGAGGTGTGTGGGACCCCAGGCTATCTGGCTCCTGAGATCATTGAGTGCTCCATGGACCCCAACCACAGGGGATACGGGACTGCAGTCGACATGTGAGTACTCAGATTACACACAACTACCCATTCACCTTTCCATCTACCCGCTGGATACCAGATCATGGTTAAATACTGTACATAAAGCTTCTCTGTCCTCCCACTATTGGAGGGATGCGACACCATTCTTCCATGAGAAATGCCATCATTTGGTGTTTTGTTGATGGTGGTGGAAACGTGGTCTCAGGCTCTATTGGTTTGCGATCTGGTGACTGAGACGGCCATGGCATATGGTTTACATCGTTTTCATGCAAATCAAACCATTCAGTGACCACTCGTGCCCTGTGGATGGGGGTATTGTAATCCTTTGTAGGCATAGCCATGGTAGCCAAAATAATGGCCGGCCCAGCATTTTTATACATGACCCCTAAGCATGATGGGATGTTAGTTGCTTAATTAATTCAGAAACCACACCTGTGTGGAAGCACCTGCTTTCAATATACTTTGTATCCCTCATTTACTTGTGTTTCCATTATATTGGCAGTTACCTGAATATTATATGGTCAAATAAAGTCCTAGAAAAAGTGTCACTATAATCCTGATGATTTATTGTGATTCCAGATGGAGTTCAGGGGTGATCTTGTACACCCTGCTGGCTGGATCCCCTCCTTTCTGGCACAGAAAACAGATGATGATGCTTCGTATGATCCTAGCTGGGAACTACGACTTCTCCTCTCCTGAATGGGACGACCGGTCCGACACTATCAAAGACCTAGTGCGTTTGGAATGATACAAACACTATAGCTTCAAAACATGGTTAAAACTATACTTCTGATCTAATGGATAGTCAGCTGCATCCTAACACATTCAGTATGTGTGCCACATGGGAATAAAACCCACCACAACCCTGGTGTTGCCAGCATTATACTCCAACTAACCGAGCCATTCTACCCTTGTCAGCACAAGTTGGCCATTTGCCTTAAAGAAAACCTTGATAAAGCTTTACCACTGTTCTTATTGGGCCGGTGGGCTCTGTGACATGTCACATAAACAACAGTGCACCGTATGGTATGGCATAACACACACATCACCTGTATTATCGTATCAGTTTCCTGCACATGTAGAGAGACGTGCTTTTAGAGAATAGACCTGTATTTCAATATACTGAGGGGTATGTACTTGCTTTTGTGGCCTAATGCAGCGTTATGTCATTATATGGAGTATAGGCCTACTTGCAAAGTGCAGAGGGTTTCAAAAAGAAAATGGTAAAGATGAACATGTTTTCACACACATCACAGGCTGGGAGCAGCGCAGGGGCTGCTGCCGAGCAGCGCCCCTGGAGCACAACAGGTAGTGCCTTGCTCAAGGGCAGAACGGCGGTAGGTTGTATACGGGATATTGAAGCCGGTAACCTTCGGCTGCCGGCTCACTCCTTGCAGATTTCCTCGCTGGCAGCTCGGGGGTTCGAATCCTCCGGTTACCGGCCTGCCCTTTAACCTCGAGGCTGCTACCTCCCCCTAATTTGAGAATGCCTACATTTCTCCAGCCCCATCCTTCAACTGTCGGAATGACTACTTTTTTTGGGGGGGGGATCCTTTAATGTTGCCTCACGTCTCCCTGTTCAGATCTCCAGGATGTTGGTGGTAAACCCAGATCAGCGTTACACAGCCCAAGACTGCCTGAACCACCCCTTCTTCCAGCAGTATGTGGTGGCTGAAGTACGACACTTCACCCCCAAGAGGAGGTTCAAGGTAAGAGCAGCAACACTATACAAAGATTCCCATGTGATGTCACCATGGTTGGGGATCTATGTTTATGAGTTCAGAAATCCTCATGGAAAATGAGTTTTCTGAATGTCAATATCGAAACTGACTGGGATCGATGGCAATATGATACTGTAATAGTCATAGGTAATAAAATAAAATAAATCATAAGTCTACTGATGTACATAGAACCAACAAATTATTTCCCTCATCCTCATGTCACCAGGTCGTCTGCATGACAGTGCTGGCTGTGATGCGCATCTACTGTAATTACCGCCGCGCCAAGCCTATCACCAAGGAGGTGATCAAGAGCGACCCGTACGCCATCAAGCCCATCCGCAAGCTAATCGACGCCTGTGCCTTCAAGATCTACGGCCACTGGGTCAAGAAGGGCCAGACCCAGAACAGAGCCGCCCTGTTTGAGAACACTCCCAAGGCCATCCTGCTGTCCATGGCGGCAGAGCCCGAGGACTCCTCCATGCACTCCTGGTAATGATGATGCTGTTTGTTTCTCAGTCCAGGTCCTAAGAGGAGGGAGGTGGGACTCTACATAAGCATGCCATCTGTCCCAATTATCTATCCTTTTTAAATCCAATGTTTTTAAAATGTGTGGGGAGGTGTGTACGGCTGCACACATCTGGAGAAAGGACAGAATTGGGCTGGTATGTCGTTGGGCTCGGCTCAGGATTTCACTCCATCGGTCTTAATTGGGCTGATTGAAGCGTGGGTGTGACGCAATAACAAAAAAACACTTTGGGTTGGACACTTTAGAGATGTAGCATGAGATATAGCTTGTTTTTTGTATCAAAAAGGAGGGGGGTTGGGGGTGAAAATCCATGCCAATGGATTGCAGCTATTTGTCGCTTGACTGGTATGTCTTTTAAACCAGTGGTTCTCATACCTCCCTCGGGGACCCCCAGCCGTTCCATGTATTTGATCTATTCCAGAGTTAGCAAACCTGATTCAACTCATCACTAAATCAAGCCCTTGAATATGTGAGCTAGTTTAGAGCTACAACAAAATTGTGATACGTCTCGGGGTACCCGAGGAGAGATTTAAGAACCACTGTTTTAAACTATGGATTGATTTTAACGAAGACGTGGGAAATATCCTAGAACTATACCCTCCAAGACCTGCACTGAGGAATATTGGTCTGCTGTGTTAGACCACATCCACAGCGAAATGTTACAATCACTTTTCTAGGGCTTATACAGTATTGCAGGTCTCAAAGTTAAAAGATGGAAATAAGAGCATACATCCAGGCTGTCCATTCTAGTATATAGATTTGTGTTCTGAAATATTGCACCCTACTGAATTATTCCTAGATGCGGTGTTAAAAAGGTAATTTCAACCGTATAATAATGAGCCTCAAACTCAGCACAAATTCCATATGCATACAGTGTTATGTAAAAGACTGCATTGCTCTGCATGCAAAGCTTCTTAGTGCTAGTGATTCTCCCCTTCGCTCAGTATGTGCAATGAACCCTGCATACTTGAACTGGCATGTACTAAGACGTGCATTTTTTTGGGACATACATTGTGGGTTATACTGTACTTGGTCATGTACTGTAAACTGTTTAAGGGAGAGTGAACTAAAATTGTACGCTAACGTTTTGATGAATTGTATTTATTAAATCTGAACCTGATTGATTGATGTATGCTGATTGTTGCAAAATGTATAACTCATAAGACTGATTATAATGAGCTGCAAACTCAACATCAGAGCCAAGCTACAGGTTTATTACATACTAAGAGTGAGGTTTATACATTCTTGGTATGATCCATAACAAAAAAAACAAACAAAACACATTTGTGGGAGGGAAATTAACTCATTTGTGGGATGAAAGTCTCCATCCATGTATAATACGACAGAACGGACATATCAACAAGCAGGGGAACAAGAGCATTCTCCAATCACCACCTAGGATGAGAACCTAATACTGGTCCATTTATTCCCCTAGTTATTCTACGAGGTTGCTCTAATAACTAGTATCTGAAGTGGTAGTCATCCACAAGAGCTCATCTCTGTCATCGGTTCTGACCTTAGCCCTTCAGGGATGACATGCCTGCTCTCATGATCTCATCCACCAACAGGATGTTGCTGGCTATTACCGTGCTGTGGACAGAAAACAAATAAATCAATAACAGTTTAATCCAAAGGGTCATTGAATCTTAAATCTAAAGGGTTGTACTGATTTGAGATTTTAAAAAGGGTGTGTTGTTCTTACCATGAGTGAAGGAGTTGTTTCTTAACACTGTAGTTATCCCAAACCCCAGCTTCTGAAGCGACCATTGGTTCACCTAAAGAAAAATAATTGGTCAATTTAAAGTGAATTTTAATATTTTTAGTTTTGACATAGGAAATGGGTATGATGTGCCATGCAATTGGATGTGAAATAAATCCCTATCCTCAGTTTGAGATTTTAAGAAAAAACTTTAAATTGCATACCAGAACTCAGGTCCACTCCAACCAGCTGACCACTCTCTTTGTACTCTGTCTGGAGTTTGACCAGGGTCTCCATTGGATCATACCCAGAGTTCTGGGCTAGTACCTGGAGAGAAAGAAACAGTCTGTCAGCAGTACATAGCAATAGCTCTGAGACTTTTCTTAACTAAAAGCTGGATATCCTTCATTGTCAGAGTTATATAGACGTTATATCAATACAATGCTAAAGCACGGAAGGCATTGACAAAAATAAGAAAAAAAATTAAATAACAACCTTCGTTTAAGACTCATTACATACCTTAGGGATGATGAGGAGGGCATCAGCGAAAGCCTGCACACCCAGCTGAGCCCGGCCCTTCACTGAGGGTTTGTGCTTTATCAGAGCATCATGCACAGCTACCTCAAAGGCCCCGGCCCCTGACACCACGCAGCCTGCAAAGTCAACACTGGGGTCAGACTGAACAACAGCTGACTGGCTGATAAGCAGTACTGAAGAGCTCAGTCAGAAACAAACAGATTTCAAAAATGTATTATTATACACACAAATTAAGTGTTTTGAGGCAGAGTAGAGTTTGAAAATGTTAATGGATGCCCCCTGACCGCAGACTTCTCAACATTCCATAGGAAAGACTTTACAGTGGACCGTTCCTGAAGAGTTTTAGTATGCACTTAAATTTGCTACTTGTATTCACTTCTCCATGGAGTAGGTGAGGCACAGGACAGCACTCACCTTTAGTTAGGAAGAAGTGAAAGGATGCTTTTGCATGGTGTCTGATTGCATCTACTACTGACAGAGTAACACAGAATTCATCCATGCCTACAAATCTATTCCAGCATCGTTACAGAATCAGTCCCATCTTGATAAAACCAAAAACTCCCCCACTCAATATCATCTGATAGTAGAGCCTAACAGAGCTGGATTCAAATAGTTGCTGAGTTTGATTAATCCTGCCTAGAGTGTCAGATGAACTTCCATTGCAGCAGTACGTACCGTCCTCGATGGCGTTCTTGACGGCCCTGAGCCCATCCCTGACTGCGTCTTTGATCTGGGTCAGGGTGTGTTTGTTGGGTCCCTTCACCAGCAGGGTCACTGACCGGGGGTTCCCACACTTCTCTATGAATGTGTACTTCTCCTCACCCTGTAAAGGGTGAGAAACCACTACATTACATATTTAACTTCATGATAAAGCACAATATTACATATTTGACCTTCATGACATCTTATACATATTTTTACCAAATCATAGATTTTCATAGTATTGGACAGAGACAAGGCAAGCTGATAGGCCCCTTTTGTATCCTTACTTAGTGGGGTGAATGTGGGTAGTGATTCCACCCACCCACACAACACGAGGAATTCTGTTGCAAATGTTTTGGAAACTGGTACAGACCATTTGACGGTTTGTCCTGGTCTAGAGGTAAAGACCCAGCACGTTAACTCACCAGGGTGTGTTCATAGACCAGACCAGCCTGGCCCAGGCATTCTGGAGTGAGGTCTTCAAAAGAGTTCATGGCGATACCTCCACAGGCCAGGGTGAGTCTGGGGGGCGGGTAAAAGGGTCAGCAAGACACACTGTAAATTATTACAGTCACACACACAGACTACATTGTATTCACTCCTCCACTGAGTAGGTGAGGCACAGGACAGCACTCACATTTAGTAAAGTAGGAATGAAAATATGCTTTTGCATGGTGTCTGACTGATTTTACTACTGACAAGAGTAACACAGAATTCGTCCATGCCCAAGTGTATCTCTCCGAAATGCACTGTTCAAGCTTGTAAACGAACAAAGAATTAAGGCAGGCTATATATATATATTTTTTTTTTTTACCTTTCCATGTTCCTCCTCTTGGTCCTACGCAGAGCTACAATCCCCTCTTTGGCCAGACTATCCAGGGAATATGGGTCAATGCCCTGTAAGGAGCAAACATTTTTATTGTGATATTTAACGAACCCAATTAAAATCATCTTTAATATGCTGCAACACTGAATGTACTGGTCTGCTGAATACATGTGGAGGAGAATGCAGCTCCTCCAATGCAGAGGTTACAGACCACACTTTACTGTAGCACAGAGTAAAATCCAGGGGAGCTACAAAGAAAGCACACAAGGGTGTTCACTGTGCCGTCAGACACTTCTGCTTAATAAGTTAGTATTGCCTGAGAGTCTAAACATAATTTCCTTTGATAGCTCACAGTTCACATTTCCAAATAATGTATTAACTGGCGAAAAAGGTAACTTCCTAGTCATACCTTCTGGTTGAGGACCACAAAGCCCTTGTTGTTATCAGAACACACTGCATTCTTGAGCTCGATGATCTTCTTAACACGCTCCTCGATGAACTTCCTCTCAGCAGCCACCAGCTTCTCCCTCTCGCCAGCACTCTTGTAGAAGAAGCCAGAGTTCACCTCGCTGAAAGTAAAGCAGGGGTTTATGTGAACTGACTGTTTATAAATCCATGCTCTTTTCACAAACTGATGAGGACACTCCATTAGGAAAGTATACAACATAGGCGGTCACACTACAAGCCCCTTTCCTGTAGTAGTTACATCCTATAATATTGACTTTCCAATTACCAAAACTCATTCATGCTTAAAGAGCTTTGCGCCTCATCTCTGAAATAAACTAAACTGCAGTACTTGCATTCACTTCTCCATGGAGTAGGTGATGCACAGGACAGCACTCACCCTTAGTAAAGAAGTAGTGAAATGATGTTTTTGCACAGTGTCTACTACTGACAGTAACACAGAATTCACCCATGCCTACAAATCTATTCCAGCTAGAAAAAGCCAAAGATAGCTGCGCTAATGTTATACTGACGTTTTCTCATATTCCAAAGAGGCATTGCAAGTGAGCACGAAGGCGTCCTCCACCCGTTTCTTCATGTCTGGATGACGGGCGCCGTGGTCCAACACCAGGCCTCGGATCAGCCTAAGGAGCGGACAAAGGGCATAATGTTGGACACAATTCGAATGTACGCATTGTCAGTGACTGAGTGTGACTGTATGAGGGAGAGAGATATGTACACTCACTGTGTGTCGCTGTCAGTCTTATGCTTCATCTCCATGATCTCCACCATGAACAGGTCAATAGGCTCATTGGGTCTGTGGATAGCCAGCACAGCATCCACCACAGCCTGAAAAATATCCCCAAAGTGAGGGGAGTGAAGTTATTAGATGTGGTGATCATACAGTTGAATGACAAGTACAGCTAGTACCGTATTGCTTGATTAAGCTTGTCTGGCGTAATGGAACCCATGGAAGAGCCCCCCAAAAAAGTCCCACACCAGCCAGGCTCAAGTAAATGCTTTAAGTCAGGGATGGGCAACTCCAGTCCCCGGGGGCCTGATTGGCGTCACACTTTTGCCCCAGCCCACACACTGACTCCAATAGACCAACTAGTCATGATATTCAGTTTAGAATGCAATTAGTTTAAAAATCAGCTGTGTTTGCTAGGGGTGGGGGAAAAGTGTGACACCACTCCGGCCTGAGGACTAGAGTAGCCCATCCCTGCTCTATACTACCAAAAGTATGTGGACACCTTCTCGTCGAAAATCTCATTCCAAAATCATGGGCATTAATATGGAGTTGGTCCCCCTTTGCCGCTATAACAGCCTCCACTCTTCTGGGAAGGCTTTCCACTAGATGTTGGAACATTGCTGCGGGGACTTGCTTCCATTCAGCCACAAGAGCATTAGTGAGGTTGGGCACTGATGTTGGGCGATTAGGCCTGGCTCGCAGTCGGCGTTCCAATTAATCCCAAAGGTGTTCGATGGGGTTGAGGTCAGGGCTCTCTGCAGGCCAGTCACGTTCTCCCACACCGATGTATGGACCTCGCTTTGTGCACAGGGGCATTGTCATGCTGAAACAGGAAAGGGCCTTCCCCAAACTGTGGGCACAAAGTTTGAAGCACAAAATCATCTAGAATATGTCATTGTACGCTGTAGCGTTAAGATTTCCCTTCACTGGAACTAAGGGACCTAGCCCAAACCATGAAAGCCCCAAACCATTATTCCTCCTCCACCAAATGTTACAGTTGGCACTATGCATTGGGGCAGGTAGCGTTCTTCCTGGCATCCGCCAAACCCAGATTTGTCTGTTGGACTGCCAGGTGGTGAAGCGGGATTCATCACGCCAGAGAACGCGTTTCTATTGCTCCAGAGTCCAATGGCAGGGAGCTTTACACCACTCCAGTTGACGCTTGGCATTGCGCATGGTGATCTTAGGCTTATGAAGCTCCCGAGGTACAGGTTCTTGTGCTGACGTTGCTTCCAGAGGCAGGTTGGAACTCGGTTGTGAGTGTTGCAACTGGCAGACTATTTTTTACACGCTTCAGCACTTGGCGGTCCCGTTCTGTGAGCTTGTGTGGCCTACCACTTCGCAGCGGAGCCGTTCATGCTCGTAGAAGTTTCCACTTCACTATAACAGCACTTACAGTTGACCGGGGCAGCTCTAGCAGAGCATAAATTTGACAAACGTTTGTATATATAGTGTAAGTATTTGAAAGATTTCAAATTATACAAAAATATAAATGCAACATGAAGTGTTGGTCCCACGTTTCATGAGCTGAACTAATATCCCAGAAATGTTTCCATTAAGCACAAAAAGCTTATTTCTCTCAAATGTTATGCACAAATGTTTACATCCCTGTTAGTGAGCATTTTTCCTTTGCCAAGAGAATCCATCTACCTGACAGTTGTGGCATATCAAGAAGCAGATTAAAACAGCATGGTCATTACACAGGTGTACCTTGTGCTCAGGACAATAAAAGGCCATTCAAATGTACAGTTTTGTCACAACACAATGCCACAGATGTCTCAAGTTGAGGGAGCATGCAATTGGCATGCTGACTGCAGGAATGTCCACCAGAGCTGTTGCCAGAGAATTTAATGTACATTTCTCTATCATAAGCCACCTCCAACATCGTTTTAGAGAATTTGGCAGTACATCCAACCGGCCTGAACAGCAGACCACGTGTAACCACGGCAGCCCAGGACCTCCACATCCGGCTTCTTGACCTGCAGGATCGTCTGAGACCAGCCACACGGACAGCTGATGAAACTGTGGGTTTACACAACTGAAGAATTTCTGCACAAACTGTCAGAAACAGTCTCAGGGAAGCTCATCTGCATGCTCGTTGTCCTCACCAGGGTCTTGACCTGACTGCAGTTCGGTGTCGTAATCGACTCCAGTGGGCAAATGCTCACCTTCAATTGCCACTGGCATGTTGGAGAAATGTGCTCTTCACAGAAAAATCCAGGTTTCAACTGTACCGGGCAGATGGCCGTTGTATGGGCGAGCGATTTGCTGATGTCAACGTTGTGAACAGAGTTCCCCATGTTGGCGGTGGGGTTGTGTTATGGGCAGGCATAAGCTACGGACAACAAACACAATTGCATTTTATGGACAGCAATTTGAATGCACAGACACTGTGACGAGATCCTGAAGCCCATTGTCGTGCCATTCATCCGCCGCCATCACCTCAATGTTTCAGCAAGATAATGCACGGCCCCATGTTGCAAGGATCTGTACACAATTCCTGGAAGCTGAAAATGTTCCAGTTCTTCCATGGCCTGCATACTCAGACATGTCACCCATTGAGCATGTTTGGGATGCTCTGGATCGACGTGTACAACAGCGTGTTCCAGTTCACGCCAATATCCAGCCACTTCGCACAGCCATTGAAGGGGAGTGGGACAACATTCCAAAGGCCACAATCAACAGCCTGATCAACTCTATGTGAAGATGTGTCGCGCTGCACGAGCCAAATGGTGGTCACACCAGATACTGACTGCTTTTCTTATCCACGCCCCTACCTTTTTTTTCTTCTCCCAAGGTATCTGTGAAGAACATATGCATATCTGTATTCCCAGTCATGTGAAATCAATAGATTAGGGCCTAATGAATTAATTTCAATTTACTAATTTCTTTATATGAACGGTGACTCAGTAAAATCTTTGAAATTGTTGCTTTTATATTTTTGTTCAGTGTATTTGAACCCAAGTCTGGACAAGTGCTTTCTTGATGACCAATAAAGTAACATGAGCCAGATTCAAGAACTCTCCAAACCACAACTCACAACAAACAGTCACACACACACTTCTACCTCTGTGAGGAGATCAGCCAGCTCGGCGTGGACCTTGGTCCTGAGGGAGGTGCGGGCCACGTGGATGAGGGTCTCTCTGTCCATCTCTCTGGTCACCTTCATCTCCTCCAATACCTCCAGAGCTTTCTCCTTGGCTGCCTCAAAACCTTCTGCTATTATCCGTGGGTGGAGACCCTTTTTGGGTGCAAAGTAAAAAATAAAAAATAAATAAAAAAAAAAGGTTGGGAAAAAACACAGGAATAGGGGGTTGACTAATGGTACTGGGATGCAGATTCTGCAACCTGCTTTAGATGCACCGATTCTACATTTATCAATTAAATAATTTTAAGTCATCACACAACCTTGCTAAAATGAAAGGTCTTTATGAAAATCCATTATTTTAACTAGGAAACTATTTCAATTACATGTTGGGGGCGTCCGCCAAACCAAATCTCACCTCTGACACATAGAGGTCTGCTTGTTTCAGGAGCTCCCCAATGATGAGCACATTGGATGTTGTACCGTCACCTGTGATGTCATCCTGTGCCGTAGCCACTTTGGCAATCAAGGATGCTGTCGGATGCTGGATTTGCTGATTGAAGACAAGACATAAGTGTCAAAGCAAGACTATAAGGCAATATATCTCACAATTAGTAAGGTTACAGATGTTAGATTAAATGTACTGGTCTGCTGAATACATGTGGAGGAGAATGCAACTCCTCCAATGCAGAGGTTATAGACAACACTTTACTGTAGCACAGTAAAATCCATGGGAGCTACAAAAAAAGCACACATGGGCGTTAACTGTACATCAATCTCATGGGATATTTATCTTACCATTTCGTGCAACAAGACATTACCATCTTTGGTCAGCTTTATGTCACCAGCCCCTGATACAAGCCTACAAACAAGCACACAAAAATAATTTGTTAGAGGCTCACCAAATGTTTGAATATGTGACGTTAATGCATGACTAGATGAATTGTACAGTAATGTCTCTAAATCACGAGTATAGCTAGAAGACAATGTCAATGAGACTAGTTGTATATAAACTGATAGTCAGCTTTTCAGTTAGTCTCCAAAGGGTTTAGGTGTCTGCTGATTATCCTTTCTAGCTAATAACATTGATTGGTCAAATAATCCAGTGCCCATTGTAAAACCACTCCCTGATGATAATCCAGCTAGCTAAATTATAGCTAGCTAACGGTAGCTACGTATTTAGGAGGTGGCTAGGAAATCCAGCACTATCTATCAAGCTAACATAGTTTCTTAGAGAAACTACTGGGTACAAATGGATCTGACAAAATAAACATATCTAATACCATAAATGGTCTACTGGCTGCCAGGATACCACGATGTTAGCCAAACTAGCAGCAGTAGCATGCTAACTGCTAGCGAGCATGGCCAATTGCACTCACATTTTCATTGTTCCTTTTGGTCCCAAATTACTTTTGAGCACATCCTGAAGACCCCGAGCAGCACTGATATTTACTGCAAGAGCGGCCTGAGCACGGGCTACCTCAGCTTTCGGGTTTAATGCCTTTATAGCAGTCATGGTGTAAACATTTGCTATTCAGTTAATCCACGCTGTAGAATTTACTGTAAAGGCTAACGCTAAACTAAGAAAGGCCGGTTTCTGGAACTCTCTGGGCTTCACGTGCGGAAATTGACATTGCTCCCGCCTTACTGTCGTCTTATTGGCTAAATGTTAGACGGAAATCCAAATGACCCTGTGTAATTGGTGGAACAATAGGTAATTCAAATACGGAAAAGGCGGAGTCAACCTATTTGTTCACGAGGTTCAATTTGGCGCTGAGCGGCGCAAATTCACTGATCTTTATATTACACATCTGTGCAAGCTCAGCTGTTTAGAAGTGGATGTGATTTATAAATTAGATCAAAAGTGCCCTACCATCATGAGCAACCACCTTGTATGAAAGGAAATATTATTAATATGGACATAAATAGCAAATGTAGATGTAAAATTAGATTTGTCATTTGTCTCACTGTCAAATAGACAATGCATTTGGGGGTGGCATAGCCATCTCGAGACAACTCCGATATATAGTGTTTTTTCTCAAAGTTGCCGGGATGTCACGTGTCCTACTTATATCAGTACACTCGTAACAATTTAAGCATTACGAAACTTATATTTGATCAAATAAACCTCACGTAGCAAATAAGCCATACATTTTTGTTGTTGACCAAATTCGACACTCTCACTGACCTCCATACTAAAACTCCTTGCTTAGTGGGCGAAGCAACGAAAAAACGCCACCTGCTGGACATATTTTCCGCCGAGTTGGGCATCTCGCTTCCTCTAACCCTCTGAGGTTACGTAAAAGCAGAGATATTAGAGAAAGGAGGAGAGAGGAATCCAATGTTAAATGAATGTAGGAACGTATAACGCCGCACCCAGCTGCCTGTCGAAGCTAATCGTCACGCAATCCCTTCTCAAAATCAGGGTATGAAACGTGCATATTTTCCTCGAAAGTACATAATGTCGCGATTCCAAATCTATACAATATTACAGATAGCAAGTTAATTATCTCACATCTTGGAAAAAATGTGTAATGTTGTACTTCTTGTTGACGAAATACATGCTAATGTTGGGTTTTTGAGCTAGCGCCCTATTGACTCCCATTCACTCCTTGAAGGAAAGCTCTCCTTGTCCCAAAATCGCCCAGAGTGCACCGCGCGGCCCACTGAAGTAGCATGGGCATCGTACATAATGGCCGATTATACGATTTCAATTTAGTTTCCCATCTCCTCAAAAGTGTCTCTGGTAAAAGCAAACAGTAGTGGGCGGTCTCAAGTGGCGGCTTTCTTTTGATTCGCTCAGCTTTATCTTCCTCACTGAACCTATTGAATGCATCTGCGAAGTCGGCCAATGCTGAAACCGTGGACAGTGCCATATCAACGCTTTAGTAACCAGTAAGTAAGAACATTTTACACAAACGTGTTTTTTTATTGAAGAAAGTAGACTTAGCTTGCAGGACCAGCACATGCCAAAAAGACATATGAAGAGTAACATTTAACACCATCAAAGACACTTTGCACAGGTAATACTGATGTATATATTGTCCTTAAATTGATACATTATGTAACGCATTGCATGATTTCAAATGAACTCTATTGTTTTTCTCTGTCATGCCGACCCTGCACAAATGCATCGTAGTAGAAACTCAAGCTTGCAATGGCATTCATCACCTTTTGCGCGCATGCCGGGCACTTTTTCGCGAGGAGAGGGTGACGCAACATTAATTCGGTGTAATTTTTAACAATAGAATAGAAATGTTAGTTTTGGGCTCGTTAAATCATCAGATTTTCTATCGCATGCTTGAGCTGATCACTGTCGTGTAATCAAACTTGTCTGTACATGAGTAAAATAACTACTAACTGTGTATCTTTATGAAGGCACATTTATTGCTAACTTCACGTTGCTTCACATTACAAGCCACATGAGAAAGAGTAATGCTTTCCTCGTTCTACATCCCCCAGGCCCTCATTAGCATATGGTCAATCAGGATGCAATATGCAAATAACACCACATCTCCCCTTTTCAGAGAACAAAGGGTAGAATGCCTTTGTCTCAAAAGATCTCAAGTGATTATTCTGCCCTTATGTCGTTAGGTCTCTTCCTGCCTCTTCCTTCAACATAGTCATGAACGTAAAACTTTAACCCAAAATGCATCTCTCATTTCTTTTAACACAAATCTATCCTGCTGGTAAGTTAGAACTGTAACAACTTGACAGCTGTTGTTTTGTCTTTTATTTTATTTTATTTTTTACTTTGAGTTCAGTCTTTTGTTCCTGTTGTGCTGACTTATAAATACAGTCTTTGAGGTTTAACTATTGCTCGCCCAGACCTTGTTCTGGGTGTAGCAGGTACATCCAGGATTACCTTGGGTGTTGGTGGTTCTGGCAATGTGGTGTGTCGGAGTGGTGAAGACACTTGAATCTTCTCATGCGTAGCGTTCTTGTTCTCAGGTCCATCCATAGGGATGAGGTGATGTCTGTTCCTGCGGACAGACCCGTGGGGAACTTCCACCATGTAGGATCGTGGTGCTGCATGTTCTCTCAGCACTGTTCCTGTGACTTTTGAGTCAGTCACCCACACCTGTTTTCCAGTTGGGAGTCTGCTGAGGTCGCTGACTCTGTGACGTTTGTTGAAGCGTTGCTGATCCGCACCCCTTCTCTCATTTTCCTTTGAGCTGACCACAGCTGTGTTTGGTAGTGATGCGTCTAGCAGCGATGGGAGTATTGACACTGTGGTACGAAGCTGTCATCCCATCAGCAGTTGTGCCGGGCTGAAGCCATTCTGGAGCGGAGTTGACTGATAGGCCAGAAAAGCAAGGTAAGGGTCAGCTGCTTTCTTGAGGAGGTTCTTCACCATCTGAACGGCGCGTTCCGCCTCTCCGTTACTTTGTGGGAACTTTGGACCGCTGGTGACATGGCAAAATCCATACTCTGCAGCGAAGTCGGAAAGGGGTCTTCCGGAGAACTGAGGCCCATTGTCCATAACCAGGACCTCAGGTACCCCATGGCAGGACTTCAGATGAACTACGACGTCTGCAGACTTTGTTAGTGACAGGTTTGCGATTTCCACACACCTTGAGAAGTAGTCCACCACTAGCAGGTAGGTGGTGCTTTTCAGAGTGAACAAGTCCACTCCCAGTCTTTGCCATGGTCTATCAGGAAGTTGTGATGGTATGAGTGGTTCTGTGTGGTTTGTGTGCTCTTTGATGCATGTCCTGCAGTTAAGCACAAGTTAGTTCAGTTGCTGGCTGAGTCCAGGCCTCCACACAGCCTGTTGTGCGCGTTCTCTGCACTTGACCACACCTTGATGACCCTTGTGCAGCTTAGTGAGGACATCATTTCGTAAGGCTGATGGAATGACAAGTCTTGTTCCTTTCAACAGAAGACCGTTGTGCACTGTGAGAAAAGCGCGTTCTGCCCAGTACAGTTTCAGCAGTCCTTCGCATCCGTTGAACTCTGACCATTCTTCCTGACACATTGTCATGACTTTTGAGCACACACTGTCGGCTTTCAGTTGTTCTCTCAGATTGTCCACGTAGGAAACACTCGCTAGAAGCTGTTCCATGATGGCATCCACATATGTATTTGTGCTCTCCATGAGCTCCTTTTCTGCAGCAGTAGCTTTGGCTTTGACTGGCGCACGTGACAGCGTGTCTGCAGTCCACAAACTCTTTCCAGGGACATGAGCAATCGTGTAGGAGTATCTCATAAGTCCCATCCTGAAGCGTTGGATTCGTGGGGGAAGGGTGTCCAAGGGTTGGTTCCCCAGAAGGCTCGGGAGCGGTTTGTGATCAGTTTCCAGCTGAAAGTGTTGACCAATGAGAAAGTCTCTGAAGTTTTCACATGCCCATGTCAGCCCCAGAGCTTATTTTCCCACTTGAACGTATCTCAGCTTGGTCGGTGTGAGAGACCAGGAAGCGTAGGCAACGGGTCTCCATTCCATGCTCTTCTTCTGCAACAGCACTCCTCCTAGTCCGTAGGAAGACTCATCGGCTGACACCTTGATCTCTTTGTTTGGGTCGTACAGGGCTAGCACGGGTGTGGATGTCAGCTCCTCCTTCAGCTCTTTGAAGGCGCTGACTTGGTTGGCCCCCCAGTACCAGTGGGTTTTCTTTGAGAGTAGGTCTCTGAGGTTTGTCCTTTTCTGCTAACTGAGGGATGAACTTTCCCAGTTGGTTCACCATTCCTAGAAAACTCTGTAGCTCGCTGACGTTGGATGGCTCCGCCATCTTCTTGACAGTCTTTGTCGGGTCGGGCTGTACTCCTTTGTCCGAGATAATGTGGCCCAGGAACTTCACTTCCTCCTTTTGACAGGTCACATTTGTCCATGTTCAGAGTTAAGCCGGCTTTTTCCATCTTCTGCAATGTGGCATGAAGTCTTACATCATGCTCCTCCTGAGTTTGGGCCCCAGACCAACACATCATCCATGTGACAGACCACACCTTCCAGGCCTTCAGTGACCTCTGTCAGTATTCTGTTCTGGAAGTGTTCAGGTGCTGAAGCGATGCCAAAAGGCAGATGGTTGAAGTAGTAAAGTCCGAATGGTGTGATGAAGGTTGTTTAGCTTAACTGACTCCTCAGATAGCGGGATCTGCCAGAAGCCCATGTTCGCATCAAGCTTGCTGAAGATCTTTACCCCGGCTAGTGAGCCAAGGGTCTGTTCGACAGTGGGAAGTATGTATTTTTCTCTACACTGACTCATTGAGACTGATGAAATCGACATATCCGCACGTCACCATTCTTCTTTGGGACAACCACCATGCCGGCGCACCAGTCCATGGGCTCCTCCACTCTGGTGACAACCTTGGACCTTGAGCTCTTTCTTGACTTTTGGCAGCAATGTCAGAGGAATCCGTTGTGGAGTGAGTAGGGCTCTGCGCCGGATTTCTGCTTGATGGGATATGGTTGTTGTACTGTGTTCAAGACCGCTGCACAGCTTTCGATAGCTTTCTTTCAGTGTCTGTAAATCAATGCTGTCGAGCAACTTGCTCAAGCTTTGTGATAGCTGGTCTGCCTAGTAAAGCTGTGTGTAGATCTCTGACATACACGTCCTCCAGTGTGCCCTTTTTCTCCCTTTTGTAGAACCGTACTTGCGACGGCGGTCACGTCCAGCGGCACTCTTCCTGGTCCTAGCAGAGGTTTTATTGGTTTTTGCAGAGCTGGCTTGCTGGTTCCTGCAAAAATGTGATTGAACACATTGTCTGGGATAACAGTCACATCGGCACCAGTGTCTATTTTGAATTTCACATTTCTGTTCATCACTTGAATGTCAATCATCCATGGGTCACCTTCTGCTGTTATTGTTCCTAAGAAAATGGTATCATCCTCTTCTTGAACCTCGTTTACGGCTCTTAATGACATACACACACTTTGGTAATGTCCTTTTTTCCCGACAGGAGTGACACACTACTTAATTAGCTGCACACTGTGCTCTTGGATGTGCAGGGATTTTGCCACAGTTTCGACACTTTGACTGCTTTTTGTCATTAGCATTTTCATGGCTAGCTTTCTCACGCTGTAATTTCTGTATCCACTGGCTGCCTTTCTGCATAACTCTATCCACTGGCTGCCTTTCTGCATAACTCTATCCACTGGCTGCCTTTCTGCATAACTCTATCCACTGGCTGCCTTTCTGCATAACTCTATCCACTGGCTGCCTTTCTGCATAACTCTATCCACTGAGCATGCCTCTTGTTGTTACTGTGTGACCTCGCAGGCAACTTTGCTGCTTTTTCATTTCTTCAGTTTGCCTTAATCTCAATTTCGCTATCTAGCGTGAGATCTTGATCTAGCTGCATACGTTCTGTAGACGCATGTTGGGTTAGCAGACATGCGACTAGCCTGTCTCTCTAATTAGTTCATCATGCAAAAGTCCATAGTTGCAATACTCTGCTAGGGCATATAAGGCTGTGACAAAAGAATCCACTGTTTCATTTCCCCCCTGTCTCCGCATGTTAAATTGGGCTCTCTCATAGATCATGTTATTTTTCACAATAAAGAATGCATGAAATCCGTCTCTTATTTGTCCATACTGTTTTTGCTCGAGTTCGTTTAGGTTTAGACCCCTCAAAACGCCATCTGCTTCGTCGCCCATACAGTACATGAGAGTGTTTACTTGGTTCTCCTCGGTAGATGTGTGAAGATTACTCGCCTGGCGAAAGTGCTTAAACCTCCTAATCCATTTGGTCCATTATTGAGGTTTAAAAAAATCCAACGGGTCTGGCGGCTGTATGCTAAATGTAGCACTTGGGCCTGTATATGGGAGTATCTGTGCCCCTACCGCTGCACCTTGCACGGGCGGCTGGCCTCTTCCCACTGCTGCCGGTGGCTGCTGCACTTCTCCGTCGATGTCTTCCATGCTGATTAGCCTCCTCGATTTTCTTCCCAAAACTTTTCAACCAGGTACTGTAAGCTAAACTCTGTTAGTAAATACACTTGTTCCAGTCCACTTCTGACACCATGTCGTGTAATCAAACGTGTCTGTACGTGAGTAAAATAACTACTAGCGGTGTATCTTTATGAAGGCACATTTATTGCTAACTTCACGTTTCTTCACATTACAAGCCACATGAGAGAGCGACGCTTTCCTCATGAACCCCTACATTCCCCAGGCCCTCATTAGCATATGGCCAACCAGGATACAATATGCAAATAACACCACAATCACATTATCTTATTTTTCATCTCCTTTGGCCACATTTTCAGCCGGGTCTCAGACTAGACATAACATAGTAAATGAAAATCCTGGAAACTCAAATGAGTATGGTCTGTTACGTTTGGGATGGTTACATAAGACAGAAGGTTACTTTAGGCAAAACGAAAGGAGGGTGATTGGTCAGAATGGGTGGGCATATAACGTGAATGTCTAGCAACCCAACGGTTGTGTGTTCGAATCTCATCCCGGAAAACGTAAGCATTTTAGCAACTTTTCAACTACTTAGTACTTTTTAGCAAATTTGTAACTGCATATCATGTTAGCTAACCCTTCCCCTAACTCCTAACCAATGTTCCCTAAAAAAAATTCATCACTGAGTAAATTTCAGGTCTGCTGAGTGCAAACTCGAACGTTGTGAAAGTTCTGTGCAACTTCCGGCACGCGTTTACTGTGAACACTGGGGCTGTACCCGCTTTAGGTTAGTGGTCAACTAGGCTACTGTGGCTACTTGATCATAAGGTAGGCCTACCAGAGTGGCCTACCATAAAAAAACTATGGAGAAAATGCATCCCATAACATTTTAACATGGAAATAGCTGTCCTATCATTCAGCCTACAGTAACAGCCAATGTGTGGTGTTCATGTTTTGAAAAAAACATGCAGGGCTTGACATTAACCTGTTTAAACACTTGTCCTTCAGGCAAGGAGGCGACTGAATGTTGTTGTTGTTTGATGCAGCTATTTGTGCACATTTGTACATATCCTTTGCTAGTTAGTGAGTTATTAGCCCAGTTATATATCATTTGTAGTCAGCAATGGGGGAGTGATTGCTTCCTACAAGAGCTTTGATCTCAAAACAAGGACATCTACTCACAACCGCTGATGCTGTAAAAACAGTCCAGTTCAAAGTGAATGACACAGATCCATATATGGCAATGTCTATTTGCATATAGGTCTACTGCAGCTCTGATTGTTAATGGCACACCGGTCTGTGTAGAGTACATGCCTGAGTCGTGCCTGTCAATGCAATAGAATCCTACTCTGATGCGTCTGCCTACAACAAAATCTCTTGTATAGTTAGTCTTGTATGTTGCATTGAAAGTGGCTAATGTTGTGTTGATTCAATCACAATTCCTACAGTAAAGGGAAACGTTGATAGTGTTAACTAATGGGAAAAACTCTAGAAAGTTGAGTGAAGTTCAATCTCGTGCTTCTCTGTCTACTATTAACAAATTGAATTATTTGTCCGATGCACTCATCACTTTCATATACACTCATCCTGTCCAAATAGAAATGACCACTGTCAGTTAAACAATCCAATTATGTTTTTGTCTCTCCTGCGTGCTTTTGTTTCAGCATAATGACAACTTTATCACAGACAAAGGAAATCTTCCGGAGAGCAGACGCTGTGTGCTTCGACGTGGACAGCACTATTATCAGAGAAGAAGGCATTGATGAGCTAGCCAAATTCTGCGGGGTTGGAGATGCTGTCACAGAAATGTAGGTTGTGTAGCAATTTGTAATGATTTTAAGTGTGCTGAAAAGCATGTTCTTCTCTCCTCTCTTTACCTAGGCCCATCTACATTCCCCTGTACATTTCCCTGTGCCATCATTTTCTACATGTTATTTTCTAAATGTTTCATTCTCAACATATTTGTTGAGTACATTGAGTTTCTCTCATTTCAGGACTCGCAAGGCGATGGGGGGGTCAGTGACTTTTAAAACCGCTCTGACGGACCGCCTGTCCATCATCCGATGCTCGAGGGAACAAGTGAACAAACTGATAACTGACCACCCTCCCCAGTTGACGGCAGGTATTAAGTAAGTGGTTGTTGATTTCAATTGTTCAATCTTTTTTCCACTCAACACTATTTGATTATTAGCAAAGGCTATGGTAATTTTATTATCATTCTCACATAAAATGGTTGAACTTCAAGTAGTCTCTTCAAGCGGGGTGTCTAACCTCAAGTTGCACAATCGCTTATGAAACATGTACTAATTTCTGCATGTTGTAGAATAAATGGACACATTTTTGTCCATTGTCCAGGGAGCTTGTTGATAGTCTGCACCAGCGCAACGTGAAGGTGTTCCTGATCTCTGGCGGTTTCCGCTGTATCGTGGAGCATGTCGCCACTCAACTCAACATTCCCCTCCATCACGTTTATGCCAACCGCCTCAAGTTCTACTTCAATGGTAAGAGCAGATCAGAGCAGTATCAGAATCACCTCGCACACTGTGGCAGGGATGCACTGTGGTTGATGACAGTATGATCATTAATGTTAGAATATTATTGGATGTTTTGGTTTGATGACTGGAAGCAAAAACGGGTGGCCATCTTATTACTCCAGTATCCCTGCACATTGTACATTTGGTATTGGCACTGACTCTGTATATAGCTTCCTCTCTTATTTCTTGATTCTCGTTTTCTTTATTTTATATATACAGTGGGGGGAAAAAAGTATTTAGTCACCCACCAATTGTGCAAGTTCTCCCACTTAAAAAGATGAGAGAGGCCTGTAATTTTCATCATAGGTACACGTCAACTATGACAGACAAATTGAGAGAAGAAAATCACAATGTAGGATTTTTTATGAATTTATTTGCAAATTATGGTGGAAAATAAGTATTTGGTCACCTACAAACAAGCAAGATTTCTGGCTCTCACAGACCTGTAACTTCTTCTTTAAGAGGCTCCTCTGTCCTCCACTCGTTACCTGTATTAATGGCACCTGTTTGATCTTGTTATCAGTATAAAAGACACCTGTCCACAACCTCAAACAGTCACACTCCAAACTCCACTATGGCCAAGACCAAAGAGCTGTCAAAGGACACCAGAAACACAATTGTAGACCTGCACCAGGCTGGGAAGACTGAATCTGCAATAGGTAAGCAGCTTGGTTTGAAGAAATCAACTGTGGGAGCAATTATTAGGAAATGGAAGACATACAAGACCACTGATAATCTCCCTCGATCTGGGGCTCCACGCAAGATCTCACCCCGTGGGGTCAAAATGATCACAAGAACGGTGAGCAAAAATCCCAGAACCACACGGGGGGACCTAGTGAATGACCTGCAGAGAGCTGGGACCAAAGTAACAAAGCCTACCATCAGTAACACACTACGCCGCCAGGGACTCAAATCCTGCAGTGCCAGACGTGTCCCCCTGCTTAAGCCAGTACATGTCCAGGCCCGTCTGAAGTTTGCTAGAGTGCATTTGGATGATCCAGAAGAGGATTGGGAGAATGTCATATGGTCAGATGAAACCAAAATAGAACTTTTTGGTAAAAACTCAACTCGTCATGTTTGGAGGACAAAGAATGCTGAGTTGCATCCAAAGAACACCATACCTACTGTGAAGCATGGGGGTGGAAACATCATGCTTTGGGGCTGTTTTTCTGCAAAGGGACCAGGACGATTGATCCGTGTAAAGGAAAGAATGAATGGGGCCATGTATCGTGTGAGATTTTGAGTGTGAACCTCCTTCCATCAGCAAGGGCATTGAAGATGAAATGTGGCTGGGTCTTTCAGCATGACAATGATCCCAAACACACCGCCCGGGCAACGAAGGAGTGGCTTCGTAAGAAGCATTTCAAGGTCCTGGAGTGGCCTAGCCAGTCTCCAGATCTCAACCCCATAGAAAATCTTTGGAGGGAGTTGAAAGTCTGTGTTGCCCAGCGACAGCCCCAAAACATCACTGCTCTAGAGGAGATCTGCATGGAGGAATGGGCCAAAATACCAGCAACAGTGTGTGAAAACCTTGTGAAGACTTACAGAAAACGTTTGACCTGTGTCATTGCCAACAAAGGGTATATAACAAAGTATTGAGAAACTTTTGTTTTTGACCAAATACTTATTTTCCACCATAATTTGCAAATAAATTCATTAAAAATCCTACAATGTGATTTTCTGGATTTTTTTTCCTCATTTTGTCTGTCATAGTTGACGTGTACCTATGATGAAAATTACAGGCCTCTCTCATCTTTTTACGTGGGAGAACTTGCACAATTGGTGGCTGACTAAATACTTTTTTTCCCCACTGTGTGTGTATATATATTTGTATTAGTTATACTATTTTGATATTGATTACTGCACTGTTGGGTAGAGCTTGCAAGTGAAGCATTTTACTGTACTCGTGCATGTGACAATAAAACTTGGAACTGGACTTTAGAGGGCTGGTTTCAACCAAGCAAGCAGTAGATTGGCATCTACAGGGAGGAATCCTTTACTAATTCAAACCGTAATATTTTCCTCCTAGGTGAGTACGCTGGCTTTGACGAGACCCAGCCCACATCTGAGAGTAATGGGAAGGGGAAGGTGATCAGCATGCTCAAGGAAAAGCACGGCTTCAAGAACGTGGTGATGATCGGTGATGGAGCCACAGACCTGGAGGCCTGTCCCCCTGCAGTATGTGTTGTCTTGTCAATACACTAGAAGACCGGTGACGAGCTGTTATTTATGTAATCTCCGGCTTTCTGTCATAGAATACTTTATTGTCCATTTTGTGAAGGAAATTTCTATTTTTTCTCTGCTCCCAACACCCTTAGACACCACAGAAAAACACATGTTAGGTGGACCACAGAGTCAACAGCAGTGCTTTGCCTCTAGGGGAGTTATGGGGTTTTAAGCGCCTTTTTCAAAGGCACAATTTCAGGGGTGTATTCACTAGGAACCAAACAGAAGCAACCAGATTGAACCGGGGAGGAACCTACCTGAATTTGTCCAATAGAAACTAGTTTCCATTGCAAAACATTTTGCTACAGTCTGTGACTAATGAATACATCCCAATACTAGATTGTCAGGTGTTAAAAGCAGCTATAATGTAAAGTAACACTGGAATAATGGACACTGGATGTCTTTTGACTTTTAAACAATTATCCTCACCACATTGTTTTGTTTTTCAGAATGCATTCATTGGATTTGGTGGAAACGTGGTCAGGCAACAAGTAAAGGAGAGAAGTTTGTGGTACGTCACAAGTTTTGGAGAGCTGCTAAAAGAACTGGAGAAGATTTAACAAGGAAATACCATACAAACCTGAACCCTCTTACAACTATTGTTACTAATGCTAACATCAATGTTTTATTTTCACCTAATGGTGTGCCTTTTATGGTTTTAACTAGTGCACAATATTTTTTTATTTCCAGTCAATAGATTTAAAAATAAATTGTAATACATGTTTACACTACAATAGTGTCCTCTTGGGTTTGACCCTTGTTGATTTTTATACTAGAGAATACTAAAAAAAAATCTGGTTAACCAAATTTTATCCTTTTTGGAGGGTTTTGAGCAGGGTTGGAGTCGACTCGATTTCAACTCAGTATTTTAGTTTAATTCCTGAATTGAAACCAATCCTGGATTTGTGTGTTTTTAAACTGCACTTTTGTGGTTTTGTCCTCACGTCAAAGCTTTTGTGGGAAGGGTAATAAAACTACTGCATTTTACAATATGTGCCATTAAATGTGCATTTATAGATGTAATACTTTTGCTGTTGACACTAATAATAGTAAAAAGTGTAAAATGCAGTTCTGAGTATGTGTGGTCATTTACTTGTTCATTTTCTTTGTGTCAACAGCACAACAGCCTCTGATGGTATCATCCACTAAACAATGACATAGCCCACACAGTGAGCTCAAAGTACTGGGACAGTGACACATTATTTTGTTGTCACTTTGGATTTGAAATGATACAATGACTAAAGTGCAGACTAACAGCTTTAATTTGAGGGTATGTTCATCCATATCGGGTGAACCGTTTAGAAATTAAAGCACTTTTTGTATGTTTTCCCCCCATTTTAGGGGACCAAAAGTATTGGGACAAATACACTTTGTGTATTAAAGTAGTCAAAAGTTTTTTCTAAACACTTCTACATTAATGTGAATGCTACCATGCTTAATGAGTGAGAAAGTTAGAGGCACAAATATCATACCCCCAAGACATGCTAACCCAGCGGTTCCCAAACTAGGGGTCGCCTGATATGAAAATGGGGTCACAAGAGAATTTCAAAAATTCTGAATAAAATGTATACAGTGTATACAAAAATATATATATATATTGTCTTTGTAATTCAAAATCATTGTAATGTGGTTATCCTTAAATCTAAATGAAAATGATTCAAATCTAAAAGATAAAATTCAACCAGAGATCGCCCTTAGATAATGAGAAAAGATTGCACTTGAATCATTCCCACAGGGAATGTCTAGGCCTGCTATGCTCCACACACTATTGTAGAGACTGATATTACCGGCCGCAATTGATATGGTGAAAACAATGTGTGGGGAGGCAGAGGCACAGAAACCTGCGTCAATACCTTTGTCAGATAACACTGTTAAATAAATAATTTATGCTAACTCCTGAGTGGCGCAGTTAAAAATCCTACAATGTGATTTTCTGGAGAAAAAAAATCTCATTTTGTCTGTCATAGTTGACGTGTACCTATGATGAAAATTACAGGCCTCTCTCATCTTTTTAAGTGGGAGAACTTGCACAATTGGTGGCTGACTAAATACTTTTTTTCCCCACTGTATGCTTACTGACGTTATTGTGTATTTCACATTTTCAAATCTTATTTCTCGTTTTTCTGTTTTTTCTAGTAATACATTGTTATTGCAGTGTTGGGCTTTGAGTTTGCAAGAAAGGAATTTCACTGTACTTGTGCATGTGACATTAACTTGAAACTTGAATTCCAACTCGGGAACTTGGGCCTCTTTTTCTAGAGCTCTGACCTGAAGATCACTGACGTCATGATTTGACCTCGTATTTTTCGGAGTTCCCAGATGGTAGGCTACCTTTCGCCAGCTCATATCTGTGTGAAGCTGGATTCAGTGCTCTCTTCTGCCTTAAAACAAAATAACGATCCAGGTTGGATGTGACAGCAGAGATGAGATGGCATTGTCGACCACGCCCCCTGAGTTTGAGAAGCTCCAACGCGACATGCATCAAGCCACACCCATCTCATTAGTGCTGGTGAGATAAGAGACATGTCAGACTAATTTGCAATTGACTGGCATAGCCCCACATTAAAAGTATGTGATGGTGAGTTGAGAAGACAATCAGAAATAATGTTGGAATATTTTTCAATCGACTGCCATAGCCCCAAAGAAAAAAGTAAAATATTGGCTGTTAATTACATACTTTTTTTCACATGGGTGGGGTCACAAGAATTTTCAGATATCAAAATATGGTCGTAGGCCAAAAAGGTATGGGAACCTGATATAGAAATTAAAATATATACAGGTTAAAAGTAATGACTAAATGTTCCACTCTTAAATAGAGTTGTGAAATGTTCTTGTTTTAAGTATGATTAGTACTTTCTTAGTAGTGACTAATTATTACACTCCGAAACTGTGTGAAATGTGTTAGAATCATAAGACTACTACCTAGTAATGTGTGAGCGTAGGGCAAGTTGAGATTACATTGTGTTACTATTTAGCAATGTGAGCAGGAGTTAGGCCAGACAACAAAGAAGGAGAACTGTTAGGCTTGGAAGAGAGTATGAAACATGTTGCAGGATATTGTGAGGACGGTGATAACTAAAGAATACAGCCTGCCCGAGCAAGGAGTAGACTATGATAAGAACATGTGTGTGTGACCTGATGGTCAGGAGAGCAGAGGAAAATCACATGAGCTAAACCCAGGTGTGAGCTTACAAGATGTGTACAGTGGAAAAATACAGCCCGCCTAAAGCGGGGTGGGATTTTTGTATGACGTGTGTGTATAAAATATCTGAAATTGTGATAACAGAATTATCTGAATAAAGACGACCTGACTGTTGCAGACTGGAGCTCTGTCCGTTTCTTGATCCAAAAGCCTTACAACCTTTTGGGAGACGCACAAAGACACTGAAATAGTTAGTTAATACATTATCTTAACAGAACCCCTGTGCTAACCTCTCACCATTACAGAATATGTTTCTAAACACTTCTACATTTTTTGGGGGGTATGATATTTGTGTCCAACTCTCACTCATCATTAATTATTATTTATTCAGGATTATCCGTAATCATGGTAGCATCCACATTAATGTAGAAGTGTTTAGAAACATATTATATTCTTATTTACAATCAAAGTGACTCCAAAATGACACAATACATTATTTACCATTCATTTCTATTGGGCACAAAATAATCTGAAACACAACCAAAGCAAACAGCAAATGCATTCAACAAGTATGTAGAGTCACATGCTTGATGTAATCATTGCGTGCTAGGAATATGGGACCAAATACTAAACTTTTGACTACTTTAATACACATAAGTGAATTTGTCCCAATACTTTTGGTCCCCTAAAATGGGGGGACATTGTACAAAAAGTGTAATTTCTATACGCTTCACTCGATATGGATGAAAATACCCTCAAATTAGTCTGCACTTTAACCTTATATTCATATTATTTCAAATCCAAAGTGCAGTAGTACAGAGCCAAAACAACCAAAATGTGTCACTATCCCAATACTTTTGGAGCTCACTGTAACTCACACACACACACACACACACATCCATCCATCTTGTACTGGCTAGCACATAGTCCGGCAACAAAGGGCAGCATTACCACATAGTTTCTCTTTGAATAACTTTATTTATGTGCTGACATTCTTGCCACCTTTGTCATAAATACCCTGTAAATCATGGAATAAAACTAGGATGAGTTTCATTTCAGTACATCGGTAGTTGTACCTGGGCACAGAAATGTTCCATGATAGTACTAGACCAGTGGTTTACAGAATAGGCTATTCATTATGCCCAACCGGAAACATGTTAATTCTGATAAAACATGTCTTGAAGAACTGGACATGCAGTATTTTCTCCACGAAGGTAAAACAAGCCATGTTCACTAAACCAGTACAATAAAAACACATCAAGCTTATTGCAGATGATGGGAAATAAACGGGGAGAGAATGCCCACGATTGCAATCAATACAATTACTTGAAAAAATTCAGAAGACATTTAGGGTTAAAATATGCATGACTTTAGCTCTGTATTCATACCAGTTCTCACATAAATCAAAGTTTATTTGTCGCGTACAGAGATGAGCAGATGTTAAAGCAGGTGCAGCAAAATGCTTGTGTTTCTAGCTCCAACAATGCAGTAAATGTCTAACAGTACAATACACAAATGATTCCAAGAAATAATGTTCACGCTCAATGCCTCCACTTTATAAAGGTTAAATAATTGACCATTTAGTAGATATTCTCTCCGTTGACAAAATACAGTAGCAATTCACTTTTACCATTTGGACTGTCTTTCTACCACTCCGATTGAATCAGTAACATCATTTCTTAGATCAGATTTCACCCAAAAGCTTAATTTTGCAATGTAACAATGTGATTCATATTCTTATTCAATATTTACATTAAATAAACGAAATAACCGCTAAATCACACATTGTGCATCTATAGTGATTTTTTGTCAAGTCGTGCCATAGTTGCCCAATGTATTAGCTAAATTCTTATTCACTGCAAACAGAACACACTGCTAGGATAGCTCTCTTTTCAAAACAGCACTTTGGTTGGTTCTAAAAATAGACTAGATCAGCTGTGGCAATGTGACCAGTGTTAATATGACCCAGTATGTTGGACATCAGTTCTCCACCCAACCACTATCAGGAGGTTTCAATATGCTGATTTTGCCCATCCTGTCTCCCAAGAACAAAAAAGTAGTTGTGAGCTCTCATGCCATTGCCTTACAGTTCTTCTAATTATGGAAAGAGTATTTTAGCTAACAGATTCAAGATGGGATATGATGATACTTTAACCTCCAGTGTCTCAGTGATGTTTTTTAAGTACCAAATATAGTTTGCTGGTGCAAAGTCAGAAATGGGTAAAGTAAAAGACAAACCAATTCAGAGGGAGGTTAGTTGGCAACATTAACAAGAGGTTGAGACCACGGCAGTGAGATTTTGGACTTTGTTACATTTAAAACAGGTGACGCTTGGCGTTCGGCCTTCTGTGTTCTCTCATAGGTTACTGCAGCGGGGAAGCCTTCATTGGGATCATGATTCTGGAGTCCATATGCTGAATGAGAGGAACTGAAACAGAGATACATGATCAGATGAGAGTTCAAAGTATTTCATATTGTGCACACTATGTGAAAGTAGACTTCATAACAACTGATTTTGCTCACCTGTATAATACACAACCTCATCCCAACCCTCATGTTGCCAAGCTGCGTTCCTTGTGGCTTCTCTGGCCTCAAGGTCTTTGTAAGCTGAAATCAACAATGAAACACTGTATTATAAAATGAATGTTAGTCTTCTTTTAGAAAAAGAATAACAGCCTTGTCTATAAGAGAGCCTAAAAGCCTAGTATGAGACGCTACATGAATGTTAGATCTGTGTGAATGAACGAGAGTAGAGGGGAGGAAAGGAGAGAAGAGAGATACAGCTGGTCTGCCTGGCCTCACCCCAGAGGTGGTGCACCATGTAGAGGTTTCCGATCTGGGAGAAGAATCCTCCCACAGCCTCACTGTTGTGCTGGCGGTAGCCAATAGCTCTGGCCCTTGGGAAAACAATGGGCCAATCAAAACATCAGTCACAACACTTCCCCACAACCAATGCTTCATCTTCTTCACATTGACTCAAGGCCACCCCATGCAGATGATTATTTTTTATATCCATTTAACCTTTATTTATACAGGTATTCAATTAAGAACATATTCTTATTTGTCATGATGACCTGTCAAAGAGGCGAGCATTATACAATTATATAATGGGCTACTGTCCATGTGGTGTCTCAACCACTGATGATCATTTGAACAACTCATTTGATTATTCATACGGTTTGATTGAACTTGCTTGAAAACTATCATTCCAGTTTGGCAGAACCGGTTGGCTATACAGACAGTAGCTGTGCAGTGCCAGGATTAGTTGGATTGGACGTACTCATGCATCGAGACCGCTAATTGTATAGTGTGGGGTTGGAGACATTTCATTATTGGCTCTGAACCATTCCCATTAGTCATCGTATATACAATCATATAAATTACAATCATGTACAGTTATTTTGATTAGCCAAATCATACTGACTTAATTCACGTTGTCAGCATTTCATGTCGTTTTAACAATGTGGCATGACTTTTTAAAAAACATTTTCGCAAATTAGAATGAGTAATTCTGATCAATTACTGAATCAAATAATCACAAATTAAACTTATTTTGGCAGACAAGTTTGAAGAATTCAGAACAATGAATGTATATTGAATATTGAATATTTGTCATAAAGAAACAAATGTGTTTTCAACATAAACCTGAGAGAATGGAATCGTCCAGGCTCATATGCTCCTGTTGAAAGTAAACAACTAAATTAAATCTGAAAATAGCAAGGACAGCTGTAGACTCTCCCTTCAAGTTCTGTGCACTCTGGAATCTAACAATAGAGTATCAAAATTCAGTCTCTCAGTGGAATAGCTCTTATTAATGAGAAAATGGGGAAGGAAGTTTCAAGCGAAAAATAAGCTACAGTGGGGAGAACAAGTATTTGATACACTGCCGATTTTGCAGGTTTTCCTACTTACAAAGCATGTAGAGGTCTGTAATTTTTATCATAGGTACACTTCAACTGTGAGAGACGGAATCTAAAACAAACATCCAGAAAATCACATTGTATGATTTTTAAGTAATTCATTTGCATTTTATTGCATGACATAAGTATTTGATCGCCTACCAACCAGTAAGAATTCCGGCTCTCACAGACCTGTTAGTTTTTCTTTAAGAAGCCCTCCTGTTCTCCACTCATTACCTGTATTAACTGCACCTGTTTGAACTCGTTACCTGTATAAAATACACCTGTCCACACACTCAATCAAACAGACTCCAACATCTCCACAATGGCCAAGACCAGAGAGCTGTGTAAGGACATCAGTGATACAATTGTAGACCTGCACAAGGCTGGGATGGGCTACAGGACAATAGGCAAGCAGCTTGGTGAGAAGGCAACAACTGTTGGCGCAATTATTCGAAAATGGAAGAAGTTCAAGATGACGGTCAATCACCCTCGGTCTGGGGCTCCATGCAAGATCTCACCTCATGGGGCATCAATGATCATGAGGAAGGTGAGGGATCAGCACAGAACTACACGGCAGGACCTGGTCAATGACCTGAAGAGAGCTGGGACCACAGTCTCAAAGAAAACCATTAGTAACACACTACGCCGTCATGGATTAAAATCCTGCAGCGCACGCAAGGTCCCCCTGCTCAAGCCAGCGCATGTCCAGGCCCGTCTGAAGTTTGCCAATGACCATCTGGATGATCCAGAGGAGGAATGGGAGAAGGTCATGTGGTCTGATGAGACAAAAATAGAACTTTTTGGTCTAAACTCCACTCGCCGTGTTTGGAGGAAGAATAAGGATGAGTACAACCCCAAGAACACCATCCCAACCGTGAAGCATGGAGGTGGAAACATCATTCTTTGGGGATACTTTTCTGCAAAGGGGACAGGACGACTGCACCGTATTGAGGGGAGGATGGATGGGGCCATGTATCGCGAGATCTTGGCCAACAACCTCCTTCCCTCAGTAAGAGCATTGAAGATGGGTCGTGGCTAGGTCTTCCAGCATGACAACGACCCGAAACACACAGCCAGGGCAACTAAGGAGTGGCTCCGTAAGAAGCATCTCAAGGTCCTGGAGTGCCCTTGCCAGTCTCCAGACCTGAACCCAATAGAAAATGTTTGGAAGGAGCTGAAAGTCCGTATTGCCCAGCGACAGCCCCGAAACCTGAAGGATCTGGAGAAGGTCTGTATGGAGGAGTGGGCCAAAATCCCTGCTGCAGTGTGTGCAAACCTGGTCAAGAACTACAGGAAACGTATGATCTCTGTAATTGCAAACAAAGGTTTCTGTACCAAATATTAAGTTCTGCGCTTCAGATGTATCAAATACTTATGTCATGCAATAAAATGCAAATTAATTACTTAAAAATCATACAATGTGATTTTCTGGATTTTTGTTTTAGATTCCGTCTCTCACAGTTGAAGTGTACCTATGATAAAAATTACAGACCTCTACATGCTTTGTAAGTAGGAAAACCTGCAATATCGGCAGTGTATCAAATACTTGTTCTCCCCACTGTATATGCTGTAATTAAAGATGATGAGTAATTCAAATGTAATCAGGTTGCCTTACCAGTAATTACCCCACTCAATCATGGTGCCAGGCTGAAAAAAGAAAAACATGAGAAAAAAGTTTTTGTATTTCACAGGAATATCAAAGTGTGACAATTTCCTACAAGATTCAAAATGACTCATAATGGCCCTTTCACATGGATTGCAATATAGGCCTACATTTACGAGCATAATGTTTGCATAGTACCTACACAAACTCTCCAATGTTTATGTCAACAATTGCCCACCCTTTGCATCATCTGGTGGTGATTAATATCTGTTCAGCAATGTAGCACCCTCCCAAACTAAACACCTAGTAGTGCTTTGGTTAATGAGGTTAAGTCACTCAGTACTCACTCTGAGCTGGTAGGACCTGAGCTCGTAGATGTTGGGTCCCTTCCTGGGGATGGGCTCATTCCAAAAGCTGAACTCCAGGAGCAGTTGGTTCCTACGAGACAACAGCATCTTTCCTCTCTCCTCCCGGTACTTCATGAACTCCTGTGTCAACCTCACATCAATAAGCACATCTGATACCTCACTGTCTATCTAGAGAGGGGTTCATTAGCTGTAGATTATAAACTAGGGGTTATAGTAGGGCTGGAGCAAAAGCCAGCACACCCAGTAGCTCTTCAGGAGGAAGGTTGGCCACCAGGTATATGAGTTAAAGTGACAGGCAACCTCAGACAATACTAGCATATGAAGCTATATTCAAGACTACTATATTAAAAGTGAAGGCTTCTAGGTGCTGCCGGGGAGGAAATTACAGTATTGGAACAGTTTGTTACCTTGTTCTGCCTGAGTTTGCTCATGACCTCGGTCAGAGCTGGGTACCCTCCTCTATACCGCCACATATGGACTGGAAAAACACACACACAACAGCCATTATTTGCAAAGCAATAATAGGCATATTCAGAGACATACACTACCGGTCAAAAGTTACACCTACTCATTCAAGGATTTTTCTTTATTTTTTTTCTATTTTCTACATTGTAGAATAATAGTGAAGACATCAAAACTATGAAATAACACATATGGAATCATGTAGTAACCAAAAAAGTGTTAAACAAATCAAAATATGTTTTATATTTGAGATTCTTCAAATAGCCACCCTTTGCCTTGATGACAGCTTTGCACACTCTTGGCATTCTCTCAACCAGCTTCATGAGTTAGTCACCTGGAATGCATTTCAATTAACAGGTGTGCCTTCTTAAAGGTTAATTTGTGGAATTTATTTCCTTCTTAATGCATTTGAGCCAATCAGTTGTGTTGTGACAAGGTAGGGGGGTATACAGAAGATAGCCCTATTTGGTAAAAAACCAAGTCCATATTATGTCAAGAACAGCTCAAATAAGCAAAGAGAAATGACAGTGCATCATTACTTTAAGACATGAAGGTCAGTCAATACAGAAAATGTCAAGAACTTGTAAAGTTTCTTCAAGTGCAGTCGCAAAAACCATCAAGCACTATGATGAAACTGGCTCTCATGAGGACCACCACAGGAATGGAAGACCCAGAGTTACCTCTGCTGCAGAGGATAAGTTTATTAGAGTTACCAGCCTCAGAAATTGCAGCCCAAATAAATGCTTCACTGAGTTCAAGTAACAGACACATCTCAACATCAACTGTTCAGAGGAGACTGTGTGAATCAGGCCTTCATGGTCGAATTGCTGCAAAGAAACCACTACTAAAGGACACCAATAATAAGAAGAGACTTGCTTGGTCCAAGAACCACGAGCAATGGACATTAGACCAGTGGAAATGTGTCCCCCGACCTCAACCAAATTGAGATGGTTTGGGATGAGTCGGACGGCAGAGTGAAGGAAAAGCAGCCAATAAGTGCTCAGCATATGTGGGAACTCATTCAAGACTGTTGGAAAAGCATTCCAGGTGAAGCTGGTTGAGAGAATGCCAAGAGTGTGCAATGCTGTCATCAAGGCCAAGGGTGGCTATTTGAAGAATCTGATTTGTTTAACACTTTTTTGGTTACTTTTTCATAGTTTTGATGTCTTCACTATTATTCTACAATGTAGAAAATAGTAAAAAGAAAAAAAAAAACATTGAATGAGTAGGTGTTCTAAAACTTTTGACCGGTAGTGTATCCATAATCCTTCTGATAAGTGTATGGGCATTATTTCAGTAATGCAGTAATGCAAAACCAACAGCCAGGGAACTATTGGCAACATGTGTAGACATGAGATGTGTAGGCTAGGGTTAGGCAACACTAATCACGGTTTTCAATTTCGGTTATTTAGGTTGATTGCTGTAACAACACAGAATAAACAATTAATACAAGTCCCATGATACTAGTAGTGACTGCCCATTACTGCTTATCCCTTAATAACCATTTATTCACATGACTTTACTTGAATAAATTATTTCAGTTGTTGTGTATATTACATTTGATGACTTTATTATTTAATTCCAAGTCAACATCTCCTCTCTATAGAGCTGCTGCCTATGCTTTGACAAAATCCCTATTTTGTAGTTCTTCAAAGTAAACAAGGCATACTTTTATGACTGCTGAATATCAACTATTAATCACTTAGGTCATGTATTTTTAGGTAGAGATACCTCGCGAAGCAACAGCTGCCATCTACAGTGAGGGAAAAAAGTATTTGATCCCCTGCTGATTTTGTACGTTTGCCCACTGACAAAGAAATGATCAGTCTATACTTTTAATGGTAGGTTTATTTGAACAGTGAGAGACAGAATAACAACAACAAAAATCCAGAAAAACGCATGTAAAAAAAGTTATAAATTGATTTGCATTTTAATGAGGGAAATAAGTATTTGACCCCCTCTCAATCAGAAAGATTTCTGGCTCCCAGGTGTCTTTTATACAGGTAACGAGCTGAGATTAGGAGCACACTCTTAAAGGGAGTGCTCCTAATCTCAGCTTGTTACCTGTATAAAAGACACCTGTCCATAGAAGCAATCAGTCAATCAGATTCCAAACTCTCCACCATGGCCAAGACCAAAGAGCTCTCCAAGGATGTCAGGGACAAGATTGTAGACCTACACAAGGCTGGAATAGGCTACAAGACCATCGCAAAGCAGCTTGGTGAGAAGATGACAACAGTTGGTGCGATTATTCGCAAATGGAAGAAACACAAAAGTACTGTCAATCTCCCTCGGCCTGGGGCTCCATGCAAGAGCTCACCTCGTGGGGTTGCAATGATCATGAGAACGGTGAGGAATCAGCCCAGAACTACACGGGAGGATCTTGTCAATGATGTCAAGGCAGCTGGGACCATAGTCACCAAGAAAACAATTGGTAACACACTACGCCGTGAAGGACTGAAATCCTGCAGCGCCCGCAAGGTCCCCCTGCTCAAGAAAGCACCTATACATGCACGTCTGAAGTTTGCCAATGAACATCTGAATGATTCAGTGGAGAACTGGGTGAAAGTGTTGTGGTCAGATGAGACCAAAATGGAGCTCTTTGGCATCAACTCAACTCGCCGTGTTTGGAGGAGGAGGAATGCTGCCTATGACCCCAAGAACACCATCCCCACTGTCAAACATGGAGGTGGAAACATTATGCTTTGGGGGTGTTTTTCTGCTAAGGGGACAGGACAACTTCACCGCATCAAAGGGACGATGGACGGGGCCATGTACCGTCAAATCTCCTTCCCTCAGCCAGGGCATTGAAAATGGGTCGTGGATGGGTATTCCAGCATGACAATGACCCAAAACACACGGCCAAGGCAACAAAGGAGTGGCTCAAGAAGAAGCACATTAAGGTCCTGGAGTGGCCTAGCCAGTCTCCTGACTTTAATCCCATAGAAAATCTGTGAAGGGAGCTGAAGGTTCGAGTTGCCAAACGTCAGCCTCGAAACCTTAATGACTTGGAGAAGATCTGCAAAGAGGAGTGGAACAAAATCCCTCCTGAGATGTGTGCAAACCTGGGACCAACTACAAGAAACGCCTGACCTCTGTGATTGCCAACAAGGGTTTTGCCACCAAGTACTAAGCCATGTTTTGCAGAGGGGTCAAATACTTATTTCCCTCATTAAAATGCAAATCAATTTATAAAATTTTTGACATGCGTTTTTCTGGATTTTGTTGTTGTTATTCTGTCTCTCACTGTTCAAATAAACCTACCATTCAAATTATAGACTGATAATTTCTTTGTCAGTGGGCAAACGTACAAAATCAGCAGGGGATCAAATACTTTTTTCCCTCACTGTATATCCCTTCATGATCGCACATTCTCTCTTCTGTAGCAGGCGTAAAAGAAACACAGACCGGCCAAGTATATGCACAATGGATTATGGTCATTGTAGTTAATTACCACGCTTTATGCGCTAAACTATGTACATTATTGGCCTGTTGGAAACTAAATGGAATTTAAATAATTGAACCAACGTCGGTCAATTAGTTGTTTAAAAAACAAACAATAACCTACATTTCGGTTAATCGCTCAGCACTAATGTTTGTAGGCTTTTGTTATTATTGCCAGGTGGGTGTAACACCAACTTCATTGAATCATCATCTCACTAGGAAAATGTGCGAAACTGGTTCAATGAAGCCCACTTCTCCTGAACTAAGTTTGCCTATCCCTGCAGGTGTGCCAATTCGAAGTGAATGTGCAGTTCAACTAGACTAGAAAGTAGAGGAGTGTGTGCTCTGCAGCCAGCATTCTTACCGGCCTGGTCCTGCTCTCCATACCAGGTGTTCCAGGTACCCACCAGCTCACAGGGATAGTACTTATCATTATGGATAGATGGCAGGGTCTCCTCACTGTCAAGGGAAAGCAATATCAAACACATATTCTACCAGGGAGCCTAGCGGTTAAGAGCGTTTGGGCCAGTAACCGAAAGGCCGCTGGTTCGAATCCCCGAGGCGGCAAGCTGGAAAAATATGCCGTTCTGCCCGAGCCCTTGAATCTCTGATTCAGAGGGGTTGGGTTACATGTGGAAGACAGATTTAGGTTGAATGCATTCAGTTGTGCAACTGACTGTGTCTAAACCAGTTGTGCAGATTCTACGATAAGTAAAAGGGTATTATGACTGATCTTCTTAAGTATGAGCATAGATAAATTATTCTACACAGTGTTGCCATACCATTGTGTCACAGGAATAGAACTGAATACATTTTGTCTAAACTCTGCCCTTATGGAAAAACCACATGAATTTCACATGATCTTATGTGAAGGTAATGTGATAACATGTGGCAACATGTGATAACATGAAACGACACATGTGAAAACGTGATCGCATGTGAAATGTTCCAAAAGGACATGTTTTCACGTGCACAACCCACTGGTGACACTAGCTGTGCAGTCATAATATCACCACTACTACTGTTGACCTTATATCACACATACTCAACAACCAAATGAAACAATAATTTGGGACGATACTACCCTCAGTAAGGCTACTACTTGAGGGGCTTTAGGTATAAAGGCCTAGACTGAACAAGGTCCATATTACTTACCAAAGCTGGTTGTAGGCATCCAGGCACTCTGGTTTCACGTTATGGACTGTAACAGAACAATCTCTATTAGACATAGTGCCCTCTGTGTTGGAAGGGGTTAAATTGGTCAAACTTTACATTACAGTCAAGGTCCGTAAGTACAGTGAAACAAGTATTGTAATTACTCATTTCTACACTATACTTACTTCTTACACTATGGTTATTACACTGCACTCAAAACTCTGAAATATAAAAAGAATTGAAGTGAACAAGTTACAGTAAAGCACAACTTACACTGGATTTTGTAGAGGTTGCTTTCCTCATTCTTGGTAAGCAAGTGGGAGTGGGCATCCTTTCTGGGATCAACTTTACGCACAAATAGCGATTTGAACCAGCTATCTTCACGATTCCTATGGTTTGATGCTGACAACCCCCTGGAGAAAAAATACAGATGGTAGTGTGAATACATATGTGAACAGAGACATCTTCTGAAGTGAGTGACTCATCTATTCCTGCAGCAAAGGATTTCACTGCTGAGTAGTGAGCTGAAGTCAGATCTGTCCATGCATGCATCCCACATTTCTCTGCAGGTGAATTATGACAGAAAGGTCTAGCTAAGAATAATAACAGTAACACATGCACTGTATGATGTTGTTGCCTAAGCTACCTACACACAATGTTTGAGAAAATGCACACTGGTTTCCTACATGCAGTACCAGTTCTTGCATTACCCTGGCTGTTTCCGAAGTAAACAACAAGCAGTGACAGTTACAGCTAGCCACAGACTACCACTGCTGCTGCACAAGTATTAAAATAAAAATGATGTATCATTGGCTAATGTTGACATTATAAGGTAAAGAAATGCCGATATAGTAACATAGTAATGTCACGCAAAATACATTTACATTTACATTTTAGTCATTTAGCAGACGCTCTTATCCAGAGCGACTTACAGTTAGTGAGTGCATACATTTTTATTTTTTATACTGGAATCGAACCCACAACCCTGGCGTTGCAAATGCCATGCTCTACCAACTGAGCTACATCCCTGCCGGCCATTCCCTCCCCTACCCTGGACGACGCGGGGCCAATTGTGTGCCGCCCCATGGGTCTCCCGGTCGCGGCTGGCTACGAAAGAGCCTGGATTCGAACCAGGATCTCTAGTGGCACAGCTAGGACTGCAGTGCCTTCGACCACTGCGCCACTCAGGAACACCCAGTAAGCTACACTCCATATACAAAAGTATTTGGACACCCCTTCAAATTAGTGGATTCAGCTATTTCAGCCACACCCGTTGCTGACAGGTGTATAAAATCGAGCACACAGCCATGCAATCTCCATAGACAAACATTGGCAGTAGAATGGCCTTACTGAAGAGCTCAGTGACTTTCAACGTGGCACCATCATAGTCAGTTCATCATATGTCTGCCCTGCTAGAGCTGCCCCGGTCAACTGTAAGTGCTGTTGTTGTGAAGTGGAAACGTCTAGGAGCAACAACGCGAAGTGGTAGGCCACACAAGCTCACAGAACAGGACTGCCGAGTGCTGAGGCAAGTAAATATCATCTGTCCAACACTCACTACCAAGTTCCAAACTGACTTTGGAAGCAATGTCAGCACAAGAACTGTTCGTCGGGAGCTTCATGAAATGGGTTTCCATGGCCAAGCAGCCACACACAAGCCTAAGATCACCATGCGCAATGCCAAGCGTGTAAAGCTTGTCACCATTGGACTCTGGAGCTGTGGAAACACGTTCTCTGGAGTGATGAATCACGCTTCACCATCTGGCAGGCCGACGGACTAATCTGGGTTTGGCAGATGCCAGGAGAACGCTACCTGCATAGTGGCAACTGTAAAGATTGGTGGAGGAGGAATAATGGTCTGGGGCTGTTTTTTTTGGTTCGGGCTAGGCCCCTTTGTTCCAGTGAAGGGAAATCTTAACGCTACAGCATACGATAACAATCTAGACGATTCTGTGCTTCCAACTTTGTGACAACAGTTTGGAGAAGGCCCTTTTCCTGTTTCAGCATGACAATGCCTCTGTGCACAAAGTGAGGTCCATACAGAAATGGTTTGTCGAGATCGGTGTGGAAGAACTAGACTGGCCTGCACAGAGCCCTGACCTCAACCCCATCAAACACCTTTGGGATGAATTGGAACACTGACTGCGAGCCAGGCCTAATCGCCCAACATTGGTGCTCAACCTCACTAATGCTCTTGAGGTTGAATGGAAGCAAGTCCCCGCAGCAATGTTCCAACATCTAGTGTAAAGCCTTCCCAGAAGATTAGAGGCTGTTATAGCAGTAAAGGGGGGGACAAACTCCATATTAATGCCCATGATTTTGGAATGAGATGTTCGAGCAGGTGTCCACATACTTTTGGTCATGTAGTGTATATTCACAACCGTAGCACTAGCTTTATAATAATGACCTTGAGCAAGTGTTATAATAATTCCCTATTAGACAGACAAGTACAATAGTAACTGGATACGCCGTGCATTACCTTTAACAGTTTAACCATTTTAGAATAGCTCAAATTAGAAGTTTCACTAATTTGTAGCTTTTCAAATCTACTACAGGCCAATAGTTGACTAGCTAGCTATTTATGCTAGCTTGCTAACAGTCATTTGTTCAGGTTCACTCCTGCACACTTGCAGCATAGACGAGTCAGTGGGAACCCCTATTCTCCAAAATCGTCAATGGAACAAAAGTCAGAACACCAACGCTTTAAATCCTAAACGTGCAAAGTAATAATAGTCACACCTGCTTAAAACGACGATCTGTCCTGTCGACTGTGCCGTATTTTTAGCCTGATTCAGGCCATTGCCAAATCTCTGAAGGACTCGGGTCGCCATTTTCCATTGATAACACTGGAGCGTATTCATTACGCCGATTCGGTTGCAAAACGTTTCTTAAACGGAAGCAAACGGGAAGGGACCTATTTCAATTTGTTCAAAAGAAACTCTTGTTTTGCTCTGTTTGCTTCCGTTTGGTTCTTAAACGATAAATGGTTTCCGTAATGAATACACCCCTGTCCTATGCAAAAACACAGTGGAGGCTGTGAGCGTACAATGTAGCCACCAGGTGGTAGTAAAACACCAACAAATGAATGGTGTGAACAGGGGAGGACCACTTGCCCTCGGTACAAGCTTTGTTACAGTTTTTACATGCAAACTTGAAAAGGAGCCTGGTATGTGTGTTCCTCTTCTTTGTAGACTTCACATTTTGTTGTTGTTGCTCTGGAAGACTTTATTCATGCAATCTAACATATTTGATGACTGTTCTAAATTCCCATGCCTCGAAGACAGCCTACATCAGTTGACGGGATGACGTTCTCTACATGTCAAACTCAAGGCAAGTGTACCGGATCCGGAACAACCTCTGACTAAAACCAGAGAGGAAGATATGTAGCCAGATAGCTGCCAAAAGGTTGAATGTATGTATCATTAGGATCATAAGAAAAGCCATGCGCGAAAAATGGCAAACACCATGTTACGATTACAAACTAACATTTTAGGCTTGAACAAATCTTGTGTTGCAATATTGACGTACAATAATACAGTGGGGAAAAAAGTATTTAGTCAGCCACCAATTGTGCAAGTTCTCCCACTTAAAAAGATGAGAGAGGCCTGTAATTTTTCATCATAGGTACACGTCAACAATGACAGACAAAATGAGGAAAAAAAATCCAGAAAATCACATTGTAGGATTGTTAATGAATTTATTTGCAAATTATGGTGGAAAATAAGTATTTGGTCAATAACAAAAGTTTCTCAATACTTTGTTATATACCCTTTGTTGGCAATGACACAGGTCAAACGTTTTCTGTAAGTCTTCACAAGGTTTTCACACACTGTTGCTGGTATTTTGGCCCATTCCTCCATGCAGATCTCCTCTAGAGAAGTGATGTTTTGGGGCTGTCGCTGGGCAACACAGACTTTCAACTCCCTCCAAAGATTTTCTATGGGGTTGAGATCTGGAGACTGGCTAGGCCACTCCAGGACCTTGAAATGCTTCTTACGAAGCCACTCCTTCGTTGCCCGGGCGGTGTGTTTGGGATCATTGTCATGCTGAAAGACCCAGCCACGTTTCATCTTCAATGCCCTTGCTGATGGAAGGAGGTTTTCACTCAAAATCTCACGATACATGGCCCCATTCATTCTTTCCTTTACACGGATCAGTCGTCCTGGTCCCTTTGCAGAAAAACAGCCCCAAAGCATGATGTTTCCACCCCCATGCTTCACAGTAGGTATGGTGTTCTTTGGATGCAACTCAGCATTCTTTGTCCTCCAAACACGACGAGTTGAGTTTTTACCAAAAAGTTATATTTTGGTTTCATCTGACCATATGACATTCTCCCAATCCTCTTCTTGATCATCCAAATGCACTCTAGCAAACTTCAGACGGGCCTGGACATGTACTGGCTTAAGCAGGGGGACACGTCTGGCACTGCAGGATTTGAGTCCCTGGCGGCGTAGTGTGTTACTGATGGTAGGCTTTGTTACTTTGGTCCCAGCTCTCTGCAGGTCATTCACTAGGTCCCCCCGTGTGGTTCTGGGATTTTTGCTCACCGTTCTTGTGATCATTTTGACCCCACGGGGTGAGATCTTGCGTGGAGCCCCAGATCGAGGGAGATTATCAGTGGTCTTGTCTGTCTTCCATTTCCTAATAATTGCTCCCACAGTTGATTTCTTCAAACCAAGCTGCTTACCTATTGCAGATTCAGTCTTCCCAGCCTGGTGCAGGTCTACAATTTTGTTTCTGGTGTCCTTTGACAGCTCTTTGGTCTTGGCCATAGTGGAGTTTGGAGTGTGACTCTTTGAGGTTGTGGACAGGTGTCTTTTATACTGATAACAAGTTCAAACAGGTGCCATTAATACAGGTAACGAGTGGAGGACAGAGGAGCCTCTTAAAGAAGAAGTTACAGGTCTGTGAGAGCCAGAAATCTTGCTTGTTTGTAGGTGACCAAATACTTATTTTCCACCATAATTTGCAAATAAATTCATAAAAAATCCTACAATGTGATTTTCTGGATTCTCTTTCTCAATATGTCTGTCATAGTTGACGTGTACCTATGATGAAAATTACAGGCCTCTCTCATCTTTTTAAGTGGGAGAACTTGCACAATTGGTGGCTGACTAAATACTTTTTTCCCCCACTGTACCTTTCAGAGTTTGGCCGTTTAATCTCACCAACAACAAAGAACGTACACCAAACGGCCTTTGAGGAGGGCTACGCGAATATGCCTAACACAGTATAAAAAAACGGAAGTCAGGGAAACCGGAAAGAGGTATCCTGCACGTTTTCAAGTTAAAAGTCTCCATTCTCTATTACTCCTCAGTTGAGTTTACTTCACATTTAGGTAGCTAATGTAATGGATTTGTTTGCTAGGTGTATCTCCAAAGCATTGGCATATCTCTGGGTAACGTGGACATCTCCATGCATGCACCTTATAAAAATATGACTAATTCAATATTGCACCATCCCATTCTCTGGGCTCTGTCTGCAATCATAACCAGTAGTATATACCTGGAATAATGAACCATAGAATAATAATAGATGTTTGGTGAATCTACGAATTATGTATGCCCACTGGAGTCTTTGCCACTCAAAATATTTTTTTATAGAATATTTTGACATTTATTTAATCACTCAAAATCTTGCCAAAGCATATTCTGTAGGAGGGGTTAAAATGAATTAGAAATAATTTGACATGATTTATATGAATTGGCTCTGAAATGAACAAGGGAGAGGTTAAATGTAGGCTAAGTCTGGCATAAGCTAAGCTTATTCCCACTCTTTATAATAACTCTGTTGCAGTGGTTTTAGGTAGTCTCCATATAGGCTATTCCCTCCATCGCGACACTGCTGCCCAGTTGAAGAGCTTGTGATCTCCATGCAGCACCACAGCATCATGCGCCTTCGGAAAAGCACCCCTCAGCCTCAGAAAATGCCCTTCTGGAAGCATGCAGCCATAGAGTCATTATACCCTAATGTAGGCCTATTTGCCTACTAGCCAAATAAAGTGCAGAGCATGCATGATGCGTGCAACTCATCATTCCAACATATTTGAACATTTAATTCATCCTTCATTCAGTTAAGTCAGTCAGTATGTCATCCGTTCTGTCATTTGTCTGAGTTGCAATAGGAACTAAATCAAAGAGAATAGAACAGTCTTATTCATTTGTTTATTGAAATCCATGTGTGTATTCAAAATTATCTAAATTCTCTGAAGTTATTTAGCCTATCACCACAGTAGCCCCATGCCGCTATAAAAATAAATAATGCAATTATATGGCCATTGAATAACACACAACAGCATGGCATATTTAGATAGTGGAATAGGCCTAGCCTAAATCATATTTACTTTCTATTTTGCAGTTATTCTAGACAAGGATCTGTGTCTTTATAGTATAATTCTCACACAAGTAATTTGCTGAAGGCCCAAGCCTATACTACACCATCTAGTGGTATAACGTCGTTATCGAATGCCGTTCTTTGTTTTGGAAATGAAAGTATTCAGACCCTTTACTCAGTACTTTGTTGAAGCACGGTTGGCAGCGATTGCAGCCTTCTTGGCACAAGCTTGGCACACCTGTATTTTGGGAGTTTCTCCCATTCTTCTCTGCAGATCCTCTCAAGGACTGTCAGGTTGGATGGGGAGCGACGCTGCACAGCAATTTTCAGGTCTCTACAGAGATGTTCGATCGGGTTCAAGTCCGGGCTCTAGCTGGGCCACTCAAGGACATTCAGAGAAGCCACTCCTGCGTTGTCTTGGCTGTGTGCTTAGGGTCATTGTCCTTTGCTCCGTTCATATTTCCATCGATCCTGACTAGTCTCCCCGTCCCTGCCGCTGAAAAACATCCCCACAGCATGATGCTGCCACCACCATGCTTCACCGTAGGGATGGTGCCAGGTTTCCTCCAGACGTGACACTTGGCATTCAGGCCAAAGAGTTCAATCTTGGTTTCATCAGACCAGAGAATCTTGTTTCTCATTGTCTTAGAGTCCTTTAGGGGCAAACTCCAAGCGGGCTGTCATGTGCCTTTTACTGAGGAGTGGCTTCCGTCTGGCCACTCTAACATAAAGGCCTGATTGGTGGAGTGCTGCAGAGATGGTTGTCCTTCTGGAAGGTTCTCCCATCTCCACAGAAGAATTCTAGAGCTCTGTCAGAGTGACCATCAGGTTCTTGGTCACCTCCCTGACCAAGGCCCTTCTCCCCCGATTGCTCAGTTTGGCCGGCCGGCCAGCTCTAGGAAGAGTCTTGGTGGTTCCAAACTTCTTCCATTTAAGAATGATGGAGGCCACTGTGTTCTTGGGGACCTTTAATGCTGCAGACATTTTTTGGTACCCTTTCCCAGATCTGTGCCTTGACACAATCCTGTCTCGGAGCTCTTCGGACAATTCCTTCGACTTCATGGCTTGGTTTTTGCTCTGACATGCACTGACAACTGTGGGACCTTATATAGACAGGTGTGTGCCTTTCCAAATAATGTCCATTCAATTGAATTTACCACAGGTGGACTCCAATCAAGTTGTAGAAACATCTCAAGGATGATCAATTGAAACAGGATGCACCTGAGCTCAATATTGAGTCTCATAGCAAAGTGATTGTTTTTTCTAAAAACCTGTTTTCGCTTTGTCATTATGGGGTATTGTGTGTAGATGGATGAGGGGAAAAAAATATTGTATCCATTTTACAATAAGGCTGTAAAGTAAACAAAATGTGGAAAATGGATAAAAAATTTTTTTAAATATAATGCTCTGATCCGGTGGAAACATCATAAAATAGGCTTCTTATCCCTTGCGCAAAATAGCCTACAGCAGTGTCTGTCTGTCTGGAGCTCACTGGCACTGGAAACTCAAAGGGCCCAGAATATTTTCTACAATGTTGCAAGTTTGCTAGCAGGAGCTTGCCAGACCAAGTTAATACAATAGTTGATACAATGTTTCAAGTTCCTTGCAGACAGGCCATGCATA